CAGTCACATACTTAAAGGATGAGCAGGCACTCGGTGGTGGCACTTCGGGCCGCATTTAATTTGCACTAAAAATACATGATTAAAGAGACAAAGGCCACGTTGGCTTTGGTTGTGGTTTTTGGTGACTGGAGAGCACGTGCCCTTGACCGTGTCAAAAGCGCTTCAAAGTCGTAATTGCGGAACTACGCCTGGCTGAAGAAGATCAGCCATATAATTGCAAGCGTTATCGTAATCGTATTGTATGTGTGGCAAAGGTCTAGTGATGGCAGCTCGCACTCCTACTCCAACCGCAAACTGGGAAAATGGGAGAGAAGGCGAGAACTAAAACACAAACTGAATGCAAAATTTGCAGCATGCGTCATTAGGCTGCCGCGGCTGCAGGGTGTGGAGTAGTCAGTGGCAGTGCAAGTGCCTCGGCTGCTGCCATTTCGGCACACGCTTCGCTGGTCAGTCGTTAAGTGAGTCAGCGGGCTGGTTGAAGTGCTGACTGACCAGTTCCTTCCTTCACTGCCAGACCTAAAATCCAGACACAGACACCAACAGACACTCCAGGCTGCCCCTGTGTGTGTGTTAGCTTGTGGTGAGTGATAAAAGGCAGGGAACACAACGTGGCTGCTGCTGCTGCTGCTACGCCTACGCAGACGACTCTTGGCCCATCGTTTAAAACAATTCCAGGGGGTAAGCAAGGGGCCGTGGGCTACCACAGATGCATGCAAAATTGAGAGTTGTGTAGAGAGAGAGAGAGAGATAGAGAGGAGAGTGGGTAGGGCGGCGAGCGCTCGACTCTGGGCAAGGTGTAATTGAATGAAGGTGAGCGCACGTCGAGAATTATCTATTCCAGCTTGACTGTAGCGCATCCAACTTTCGCCTAGGCCCACCCTCACTCCCACACACTCTCTTTTCCCGTCTCTCCTTCCTGCCTACCTTGTGTTTCTCTCTTTTGTTGGCTTCTTGTTTTTGCTTCTCTCTCTCTCTCTCTCTCTCTCTCTCTCTCTTGCTTTGCGCTCAGCACACTCTCGTAAAATCCTTGAACGAGATCATCAATCTTGCTTTGTTGTACTTCCATCGTGGCTTCACTCCCCCTCCTATGCCCATTCCCTCCCTGTGCCTTTTTTGCCTTTGTTTTTGCTTTCCTCTCTTTTTTGGTGTCCCGCCTTTTTTGTATGTCATTTGCCATGGACGCCCCACTCCCTAAATCGAGCACGAGTATTCCACGCTTTTTGTTCTTTACGTTATTTATGCCACCCAGCCTCTCCCCCAAGCAGACGGAGGGACAGCGACCGGTGCCAGCGGCAAAAACTGCAATCACTTTTTGCTGTTGGTTTTTGTCAGTTTTTGTGCGGATTTCACTTTTTTAGTCATTTCCATTTATTTTATTTGCAATTTAGAGCCCCCGCCACACGTCCTCCTTGTCCACCCACAAATGGGAAAGAGCCAGCAGAGAGCAAGAAGCAGAGAGCGAAGGAAAGAGCGCAAAAAGAGTGGGTGAGTGAGAGCGAAGAGCCAGCAAGGCACTGGAGAAGTTTTTGGTTGCATTTCATTTCGGTCTTTTTTTCTTTGCTGTTGTATTTGCTATGTTAGTGTACTCTGTTTGTGTGTGTGATGCAATGACCTCGAACTTCGTTTGCCCATCGCTGCATCTTGAAGATCTTTTTTTTCCTACTACAAGTACGAGTATACCCTTGAAGAGAGAGGGTACAGTGCGTCGTGTGGTTGAAATGTTTGGCAAGCAGGGAAAGTGGGATTTGAATAAGTAACATATTATTGATGTAGAAATTAATAATTCATAATTAATACGATTAAAATTAACTAAATAAAAACAATAAGAAAAACTTCAAAAAATAATTTAAAAAGTTACTTTGGGTTTCCTATCTGAACAGTAAAAATGTTTAGCAAAATCAAATTAAAATATCATCGCAGGGTATCAACAGCTGCGACCTTCCTTTGATCTTTTTTGTTTATTTTGTGAGGGTAGCAATATCGTGTCTCGCAGCTTACCGGCTTTCGGCTTAGGGTCTTGTGCAGTGCAGTGAGGGCATGGCCTGGTCAGCTTCGTTTAGTTGGTCAGCTTAAGCGCCGCCGCCGGGCTTGGGCTTTGAGTTTGGGGAGTCGAGAAGTGGGTGAGAGGTGAGGGACAAATCTTATTGATAGCTTATTATCTTAGAGATGCCCAAGACAGCTTTCTGCATTATTTAGTTCAGCCATAAAATAGCTTTAAGAAATGAAGAAGGAACTTTGCAGAAGCTTCTACTGCCAGGAGTATTTTCTGTAGCTCTCTCAAGAACTCTAATGCAGAATTATTATCAAAAAATAGCATGCGAAGTTTTTGCATGTACAATAAAAATCAATAAAATTCTGCAGCTCCACTTGGAGCCAGAGAGAGAGAGAGCGAGAGAGCCACTACCACAAGTTCAACAGCCCAAACACACACGTGCAAACCGGCACTCAACCCTTTACACAGACGCACAGGCAATAAAAAACTGCAATAATATTCGTGTACTCTCTCTCTCACACTAATACTGGACGCAGCAGCTCCAAATTCGCTCCAACTCGTTCGCTGCTCTCCCACATTGGCAGAGCGGCGCTCGCACGCCTTGCATGCTGCGACTGCGACGGCGACTGCGACTGAGACTGGCATGCCAGCAACATTTTGCGGTTGCTCTCGAAATCTAAATTTCAAGTTCGTCGTCTGCCATGCAACTCATCCGGCTGGCAGAGAGTTTTTCGGCCAAACTTCAACTAGAGGCACGAGAGTAGACGTTGACCCGTCGGCCTCCCCTGGCACCGGGAAGCAGCATTTTGTGGGCTGCACGTTGAGTTTTTCAGCGATGCACAGTAGCAGGTCCTGTCATTGATGATTGCAATGATGATGGAGTGGCTTCTAGTTACATTTTGCCGATAAAATATTACGGATTTACCAATGCTTCCACTTGCTGCGCGCTCCGACTGATTGCCAGGTAGAATAATAATTCCCATAAGTTCGATTGGGCTGCCAAAAGCCGTCGGCTAAAAACGTACACATGTAAATGCCGCGTAAAAAGAACTCTAAATTCGGTCTCTACTATGCCATGCTGGAGTCACAACAAAGGGGGAAAAAAGGGTAGACAAGAGGTAAAAAACCTCTGCCATAAATAAAGCAGCAAAATAAAAGGTAACAGAAAGGGACAGCGGCTGCTGCTGCTGCAGCGGGAACACAGTGGAGTGGCCCCGGCTCCCGCTCCCGCTCCCGCTCCACCTCCAGCTGCAGCCACCGTTCTGGTTGAAAACGAAACCGGATTTCTTTTTTGATTCATTTTTCCCCGCTCTCCCCGCTCCCACACTTGCAGCCAGTTTTGTTTCCTTTTTTGTTTTGCATTTTTTTTTTTAGAAGTTTTCGAGTTGTCTCGTGTTTGGGGCTGACTTTTTTTTGTTGCTTTTACATTTGACTGAGTTTTTGGAATGCAGTTTCCCTTCTGTGCTGCTCCGTTCTGGAAACTTTGCCCCGTTTTGTTGCAGCAGCACGTCCCCCCCCTCGTTATGGTTTTATTTTATTGGATGGTTTATGTTTATTTTCGTACCTCTGCCCTGCTCGGACACGAATCACAGTTTCCGTGTAATGTTTTTGCATATTTTTTTTTCGTTGTGGCGTGGAACAGGTTTTATTTCTCGTATTTTGTGTTCTTTTCTTTTGTTTTATTTTGGAAACCCAAAAGGAATACGAAAAAGCTTTTGTTTTGATTTTGAAATGGGAATCTGGAACTGGTTTTCCCTGCCGGGGACACCTTCAAGAACCTGTGGCCCACTGCCCCAACATCAAGTCGTTGGCTCGGCGACTGCCAACTTAGCCTCTACCTGCTCCCCGGTGTCCTTTCGGTTGGGAACTCTCACCATGTCCACGTTGTACAGCCGAAAGCCGACCTTCTTGCAGCGCACATTGAGGGTGACGACCATGCAGTAGAGCAGCACCAGCAGCTGCCGGGCACGCAGCACATACGAGGCGCCCATGTCATCCGGGAAGATCGGCTTATCCCACTCGGAGCAGTCGTAGAGGAAGTAACCCCCGTCATGGCTGGAGCTGAAGCCAAAGGCGAAGCGTCGCTCCTGGCACTCGAGAATGCCCCACTGGAAGCGCGTAAAAAAATAGCTGAGAGCCTCCAGCAGACTCATCGAGGCGCTGGCCGCTGCGCTGTACACATGCCCGAAGGCCACCAGCTCCATTTGCACCAGAAAGCGAATGTCCTGGAAGTCGCACTGCACACACATATCATCGAGACTCAAGTTCTGATTCCAGCGCTGACTCGACTCCACACTGGCCCGATAATACTTGTCGCCATTCACGACAATCGCGTCCAGCAGCTTGCTCGTCCAGTCGCCCAGTCGCCGGAAAATGCTCGCCGCACAACAGGCCACGACGTAGCAGCCGAGCGACTGGCGACCCCTCACCTTGCTATCGAACCAGGGAGCACGCGGATGCAGTCCACCCCAAATGGACCACAGGCGATCCTCAATCTCCACATCATAGTCGCGCCAGCGTGTGCCGCTCAGATGCCGCTGCCTGCCCTCCAGATTCCGCCTCAGTCTGCGACTCCAAATGGGCAAACTGTGCCCGGGCACCAGCCAGGTCATGGACTCGCTGCGCACCGACTGGGAGGCGGGCTGCTTGAGCAGCTTCATCAGGCCAACAATGGCGGCCTGATCCTCAGAGTGTGGAGGGAACATGTCAGCGTCGACAGCGGTGGGCCCCAAGCGGCTGCAGAAGTCACCACTTCGGTTTGTGTAACGGCTGCAGAATTCACCACAACTCTTGGCGTAGCGGCTGCAGAATTCACCACGACTTTGAGGCCAATCTCTGGCCACATTTTGGTACCGGGTGGGATGCCAGCATGAAGCTGCAAATGAGAACGGGAAACGGAAAATTTGGGCAACTGTTGAGAAACTTCAAAGACAGACGAAATTGACAACTGAGCGAAAAGGCAAAGGCAAAAGTCAAAAATGCTCCTCCCAAATGAAAAACTGCAACGCACTTTGCATGCAACTTGTAATCATCGCTGTTTGCCACACACACAAAAAACACTAATGATAGGGGGGGGCAAACAGTCGACAAGTAATGGTGCCAAAGTGCCAGCTCATGCTCCGTAATCAGAGGATGAAAGCAGCTCCCCATCGCCATCTCCTCCTCCACCGCCCTCGGAGCACTTCAACTCCTCCAACACCGTTTTGGTTTTGTTGAGCAAACACTCGCGGGACTGCTGCAGATCCGCTTCCATTTGGCTCAGTCGACGTCCAATCCTCTCCTGCATGCACCGCAGCAGGGCCATGTCCCGCTCGGTGCGCTCCTTGTTGATCCTGCTGCTGTCCAATTGATCGCAGAATTTGCCAAAACGCTGATCCAACGCGACCATTTTGCCCTCCATGCCACTGATTTTGTGGCGCAACTGTGCGGCGCGACCTTTCAAGCTCTGCAGTGGCTGGTCGGAGAACTGTGCCTCGGGATCTGGCGCTTCGTTTGCTGGCTGATAAATCTGGCAAACTTTCGACAAGCTGCCACGAAACTGCTGCCAATCGGCGCTGTCTGGTTGACTCTGCTCCATGTGGGACGTGAATTCATCGATCTGGACGACAAGTTGATTGATTTCATCCTCCTTGCTGTCATAATGCTCCTTGGTGTTCTGCTCTTCGGGGAGCAACTCTTCAGCTTCCTTCTTGCTGGCAAACTCTTCCTTGGACTTCTGCTCTTCAGCTTCCTCCTCCTCCTCAATGTCTTCCTGTAGCTCTGGCTCAGCCTCAGACTTCAGCTTTTTGTAGCCACACTTGAAGCCCTTCTGTGGATTTGCAAATATGTTGACATATTTCGTTATGCGCAATGCGTTACCCTTTCTAGCCTACCTTCCTGAATGCCGACTTGAGATGCTTGGCCTTGGAGAGCGTTTTCCTCATGAATTCGCTGCGCATCTCATGTACCAACTCTTCAATGTGGCCGGAGACCGCTGTTTCCACGCTCAAACGGTGCTGATAGTCATCGAAATCGAGGTTATCCTCGTCCGTTGGCTTGTCCAGCGATTCGTAATCGATTAAACCTTTCTGCAGGGATACGGATTACGCAGTTGCACTCAGAAGGGATTGGTGCTGGTACTCACCTCCACCATCAAGTCCAGATGCATGGCATCTGTGGTGAGTTCCAATCCAAGTTGCTCACCTTCCTTCAGGCAGATCAGGCTGTCGGAGGTGGAGGTGTGCAGTGTGTCGCTGCCGAGTTCGGAACCCGCATTGGGCATGCCCCGCGAGGCATCGTCCGTGGGCTGTTCCCGATTTGTTTCCATTGTACCGAAAATTTACAACAATCAAAAATATTTTACGCTCGTCTGTATTCGAATTGGTTACAAGTTTCAAATGATTTGTGGCACTGATTTGGGGCAGCTACAGTTTGACATTTGTCCTGGCTTTGGGTCTGATTCAGGGCCTACTTTTCCTGCCCGTTACTCTGTGGCAGCGTCTCCCCCTGCTGATGTGTATGTGCAACCAGAAATTAAGTTCGCGTTGCAGCAACGCATTAGTGCCAACCAATAATTTGTGGCATCGTAAACACGTCGTAAATGTTGCACTGGCAAATTTGGTAGGCCTTCATTTTCTATACAAGACAACGGGCAAGGGAGGGCCCTACCTACCTGTCCCTGCCCCTTGTGCTTGTGCTTGAGCAGCCAGAGCGTAATTACAGTCCATTAAATTCGCAGCGTTTGGCTACTTGCCGCATGCATGATAAGTGCCACTTGCCACTTGCCGTTTGCCCCGTACCCCGTGCTCCGTCTTGGCAGTGCGTTTGCTCATTCGCTCATCAAAGGGGAAATGAAAACGTTTCGCATTTCTCTTCTGTTTTTTTTGCTGCTCTTTCTGTGGCAACATGCAACCGGCAGCAGTCTTTGAGTTCTCGGAGGTGTAATGTATGAGTAGAAGATGTCCGGGTTCATGCAACAAAAGTGCAAAGAATGATAATCCTCCATCCAGATCGAGCTGGAAAGGAACCTCTTGTCCAAGTTTAGGGTACAAATTAACTGCGAATAATTATCAAATCTGTGATTGAGAAGTTCCTCGAAATCTGCTGCAGTTCCCAGGGTACTCCCGGAGTCGTTGTCTGCCCTTGCGGCTCCCATTTGTTTTCTCTTATTCTAATTAGAGACTTGTGCGGCTCGCTCTTGGCGTCCATTTGTCTCCACAACGCTGAGGAGCATGGCCAAGAACGTGGCTAGAAGATGTCGGAAGGAAAGACTGCCACTGGAGCTGCCACTGCCGCCCCTTGATAGGTTAATCAATTTATTTCATCGTCAAGAAATGTGGATAAGTGGAATATAAAGAGATCCACAACCAAAGTGAGGTATTTCTGCGATCGTTTCCTAGTTTTGCCAGCGAGTATTAATGGAACTGGCAGAAAATGAACCGCCTCAAGTGGGTCACCATAAAAGTGAGATATGATAAGGCTAGAAGCCGCTTTGAAAACTGGAAAATGTGTGACCAAATGGCAGAGAATCCAAACTGCAATTAGCAGTGAAAAGATAGAAAGAAATGGGTGGAAAATCTTCTCTTTGATCCAGCCGAGAGCCGGGAATGCCATCTCCTGCTTTTACAGTTTGTAACTTAAATTTTGAATTATAAAGCAGACCCTGGGGATGCCAACTACTCGTTCCGCACACAATTTAAATTATGTTTGAATATTAAAATGCATTTCTGGCGCTGCATTTGATGATTCATTTGTTTGCAGGCAAATAATAATCAATTCGAGAGGCAAAAACCCAACGCAAGTATCGAATTATTGGCCAGAACAATGGCGGAGGGGTTTTCCCCCTGCACAAACAAATGAAAATTTACACAAACGCAGGCAGTGATGATTTATTAATCGAATTTCGCATTAACATCGAGCATAATTGCAGGCATCAGAGCATATACATTTGTGCACATAAAACCATACATAAATATGCGTGTACATAAATAATGAAATGCAATTCTTTATAATTAATTAAAAGGCTTATCGTAGCAGGGGAGAACAGCGGAGAATTGTTGATTATATTGCTATTAGGGGGAACGCAATTAGTTGGGGTTTTTGCCTGCCAGAGATTCCATTTGCATTCCAGCAACATTTCTCCGTGTCATGGTGTGGCTTGGCAGCTGTAATTAGGGAAGACCTGGCAGAGGTGAGGACAGATCTGGCACCTCTGCCCATCTCCCCTTGGTACTCGCTTTGCTTGTGGATCTCCCCCAACTGAGTTTCTCTTTCGGTGGTCTAATGAGTGGGCACTCGCTGGGAACCCTCTAAGTGGTGAGCTGCCAGTGCCTGCCAAACCAAACCAAATCGAGCAAACGACACACAGTTTTCTGTGCAACCTGCCACACACTGCCCACACAGGTGCAAGCAGCGTTTGTCCAGAAGACACTCTTTCGAGGCGGGTTATACAAGGCGGCAGCAGACAGGCAAAGGCACTCCAGCCGTGTCCAGGAAATTTCAGATGGAGGAACGGGCACCTCGGAGAGAGTATTTTGGAGAGCATCAAAGCCCCAACTGAAGCTGCACTTTTGGAACTTGAAATTTGATATCTGCCGCAGCCGAAGCAACAAAATCCACCATTGCAAGCTGCAACCTGTTGCAAGTGTGTAGTAAAGCCGCAACTCGATGTTGTTTGTCGCCAAATGTTGCGGCAGTGTTTGCCCACGTGGTGTCACGAACTTGCCAATCCAAACCGAGGGAAAAGCAGCAAGCAGAGAAATTTCCCGCTGTGGAAAGTGGCGGCAAAGACTGGCTGAAGGCAGGATTTCGCCTAGCAGCTAGCTGTTGCTCCCTGGTGCTTTCAATTGAAAGAGAGCGGAGAGCCACAGCCCTGATGATGACAAGAGGGCAGCGGCACGAGTCAGGTCTTGAGGCCAACACGCCTGCCGCTTGACACGTGTCTGTCCGTGGCATGTGGCATGGAATGGCAGCAGGCAAGTGGCTAATTAGTGGCTCCTCAAAGTAAGACACCTCAGCTCTCAGTTGGCTCTCGAATCGAAGCGACAGATGATTTGCATCTGCCTCTCTGCCCCTTTGGAGCTCTCTTTTGTCGCTGATGATGGCGTGCCAACAAGTGCAGCTATTAATCCACAATTCCACTGGCAATTTCACAATTAACGCATGTACCTGTGAGGAAATTCCAAGCAACCTCAGCCTCAGCCTCAGCCTCAGAGCTAATTGAAAAGCTGCGTGTCCGTGTCCGTGTCCGTGGCCGTGTCTGGTGCTGGGTTCTGTGTGTGTACTGTGTGGTCTTATCGCTTTGACAGTTGTCAGTGCCGCTAGCTGACATTTTACACCAAAGCATTTATGTTCTATGCGAGCCCTGGCACGCTCCCCTGCCTTTGTCAGTTATTTTTTGACTGGCTGCAGGAAATGGTCAGTCGACAGCTGGCAGCAGAGAGTTTCTGCGGCAAGCTTCCGCGTTTGGCCAGCGCCCTTTTTGCTCCCAGCTCCGAGCTAACCCAAATACCAGCGCATTGTCCTGGCTAATGAGCGTGCCACTTAGGAGCTGCGACTCTCCTGCAACATTCCTGCAACTCATGGCAAAAGTGTGCACAAACTTCTTTCGTTTCCAAGCGCCATAACTCAAAGCCAAGTCTAAATGAAGTAGTTACCGAGCGGCCAGCGCATCATCATCATCATCATCGTGTGTCCATGATGCAGGGAATTCAATTCACGCCTGCAAGGAATGCCTTTGAGAGTGCTCCCCCCTCTTCATGTGAGGCGATAATTAGCGCGCAATTGTCGTTAACGCCGCCTTTGTCTGCGTCTATGCCAGGTGCCCCTCGATCGTTCGACAGGCAACGTGACGAGCAACACAATTGCAGTCCATCAGCAATGGGCTTGGGCTTGGACTTGGGCTTGGGTTTGGGCTGAGCTGATCACCTGCACAGGAGCAAGCCGCAACCGGTTGCTGCATAAATCATAAAATAAAAGACACTAAAAGCGAAAATAAATCACCAAGCGAGCCGGGCGGGGCATTAGAGAAATTTGCCACAGACCGGCTACTGGCTACTGGCTAAGAGATCCTCCACTCCTCCCCGGCTGGAATATTAATTGTGAGTGCAACGGGCGCATCAATTCTGCAACTCCAACTCTGTAGCTCCCAGTCCCAGCCTCTGCGCATGCGTGGCAGCCTCCGATTGCCTTTGAAATATGACGCCCAGTTTTTCTCTGCATTTCTCTGGCAAATCCAATGTGCAGATTTCCGAGAAGCCAGTGTGCAAATGAAGCTGGAATATCTGCTGCCTCATTGTGATGCATGCGACTGTGATTAGGAGAGTTGCCACAATTATGCCATAGAACAGGGCCGGGGAATGAGCCAATTTTGGGGCTACAGCAATTAACAATAAACGAATGTTAATCGCTGCAAAGTACAGTTGCCGCAAGTGGCTTTCTGCCTGTTCTGGCGATGAATCTGCAGTTTCTCTGGCCCATAAACTGACTGCCAACTACCAGCGACTTCTGTGCACTTTTTTGTGCAGCTCTGCCTCCTATGGCGTTGAGGCTCCAGAGCAGTCGCCGAGGCAGGAAAAACCGGCACTCAGGCAGGCCGTCAGCAGGCAGAGGGGCGCCGGCAAGTGGCAAATGTAATTTAATAAATTAATTACATCAATTAGCTGGTGCATTTTTATTGAAATTGCTGTAAATATTGGGCTAGAGACGCTGCCATTGCGCGTGGATTTATGGAGCATTTCTCAGCGCCACAGACCCCGGGCCTAACTTATGGCAAATTTATGCGGTAGGAGTGTCCCTGCGGTCCGAAGTTAATGAATGCGCTTTGTATTGATTAGCCAGCCGGCGAGCCAAGACAAATGCTTGTCCAAGTTATTAGTTGTAGAAAAAAAAGGGACAGTCCATTAGGCCAATGAAATCCGCCAGCTGCCATGGCTTAATTTATAGTCTCAAACGTGTGGGGGGCTGTCGCTGGTGGGGTTGAGACGTGACTAAAATGCCAGCCACTGTCCGCACTGGCAAACAATTGCCCAAATGCCCAAAACAAAAGCAGTGGCCAGACTAGAACATTGACTGCATATTGATGTGCGGATGGATGGATGCAGTGTAACCAAAAGCAAATCCACAAACAAATCCAAAACCAAACGGCAAATGGCAAATGCAAATGCAGTCAGCCTGCTTCAGGTTCGTTCGTGTGTCTCTCTCTGTCTCTCTTTTTTTGGGGTCAGTGTCAGTGTGACCCTCTCACGCTAGCCGCATCTTAAGCAGTGTGTACCCCCCTTTTGGGGCGTGCTCGTCTGCTATATATATGCCAGACCCACTGCCCAAGCAGCGTGCATTCAGTCAGTCAGTCAGTCAGTCATGGCAATGGAACTCAGCCTCAGCTCGTCGCTTGCCTGTGTGCTGGCCACACTCCTTGTTCTGGGCCTAGTCCATGCGGATGTGGGCGTGGCAGAGCAGCAACGTCTTCGCCTGCAACAATTGTCGTATCCAGCGGCTGGCTTTAAGCCCGCGCGGCAGTTTCCGCTGCCCGCCGCCGCTGCTCAGCCGCAGTCCGAGAGGCTCGTGGCCAACAGCGAGGCGCAGGAGGATTTGGATGATGCCGCCGAGGAGGTGACCACCAGACCCAAGATAGCGACACCTGTGCCGGCTCCTGTGCCCGCAGCTGCTCCTGTCACGCCCACAATTGCCTATTATCCAGCGGGTGCTGTGGGCTTTGTGCATCCCACGACATATGCCCAGGTTCTGGGAGCACCACAGCTGCCACAAGCGGCGTACGCCAAAGTCCTGGCAGCACCACAGCTCCAGCCACAGCCGACAGCTGCCTATGTGAACGCGCCCCAGTACTATGCCGCCTACTTTGGCTGAGCTGAGAGAGATGTACCCTAACCAGCGTAGAATATTGTTCCAATAAAAGTTGATTTTTATCGTCGAACACTGGCTGCCAGAATTCATCTTGTTCATAGTTTAAGTGCGCGCCTGCTCCTGCCTCCTGCCTGCCTCTTGCCCGATCTTTCTGATCGAAAGCCTCGTGATTAGGCATGCTCCATCAACATGCCAAATCTGCAGCGATTCCTGGCTTCCAGGAGAACCAGACAGAAAGCTGCTAAGCCCAAACGGTAGGCAACAGGCTAACGAGCATTTGTGGAGACTGCGGAAAGCTGGGGTCCGGTCCGGTCACTCAATGAGTGAGCAAAGATAATCTATTATGACCGTAACAAGAAATAAATCCCAACTCGGTAATCCATCATTTTACGACTTGGCAATCAAAACAAGGAGTTTAACTAAAAGAGTCAGTCAGGCAGTCAGGCAGTCAACAGCAACTCCAAGTCCAACTCCAAGTCCAAGTCCAATCAACGTGCAGGCTGGCTGCATATTCTTTTGCTAACGAACAAGTCGCGAGTCATGTTAAAGTTGTTGTTGGCCAGAACTAAAAGATAGAAGAGCTCGCGGGCTCCGTCCTAAGATTGGGCCTGGCCAGCAGGAAACATGCATTTTGGACAGGCTGCTGCTGCTGCTGCTGCTGCTGCTGCGGACTATTCAGGCCAAATCAAACGGAGCAGAGCAGAGCTGCTGCCTGGCTGCCTGGCTGGCCGTGACGTGACGACAGTTGGCAGCTTTGGGCCATTTTTGGGGGCACAACGACTAAATAGTTGCCAATAATCCGTGTCCAAACTGATCGCGGCTCACTGGCCTTTTATGGCCATGGACGAAAATTAGATGCCAAAATGCGGCTGAAGGAGCGGAGCTGGATGGATGCTTCATTATCGATGCACAAACTTGGGCGTGTGCCCGTCTCGCTCCATTTGCAACGGCACAAGAAACATTTTTGCATTATTATTGCTTCATCAAGTGTCCAGCTGAGAGAGAGAGGCCAATCAATGCGCTGAAACCTAAGCAGTGACTGCCCCCAGGCAAAGCCACAGACAGAAGAGAATGACGCGACGACCCGTAAGAGCATTTGGAACTGCTCAAAACATTTTTGAAATCGCATTTAGAGGTGAAGGGTGCAAGGTGCAACAGTTAGTGGCATATCTGATATCCACATGCCACAAGCCAACACAGAGAGGGCTTAGCAAAAGCAGCGGCAGGGTAATTAAAAAGAAATATGGGACACAACACCAGCCCCAGAGAGTCGAGCACACACGGAGTGGCCACCGTATCAGTTACAAATCAGTCGGGAGTCGGGAGTCGGTAGTCGGTAGTCGGGTGGCTCTGCTTATGTTTTTACATTGGCGAATATGTTTTCCAACGTGCAGCGCAGTGGAAAATGAAAAACAAGCAACCGATGCAGTAGCGGCAAATTGAACAATAACAAAAACGAGCTGCATATATCCAAACAGCGATAGAGTAACAAGTAGACAGGCGGCAAGCAAGAGATATGTGTATGTGTGTACGCTCTTATGGTAAATTTTAATGGATTTTATATTGATAAGCTATATTAAAATAGTAACCAAAAAGTAATATTACTTGCACAGCAAATTTAAATTGCGCGCCCAGCATGACTATTGATGGGCAGCACTGTCAAAACTGTCATTTTACAACACTGTAAAAGTATTCCTTATTCCACTTCTATTATAAACTTATCGAAAGTTTTGGCTATGAAACTAAGTTCACCGCCAAATAATCAAAAATATCGATATATTATTAAGATTTTCATCGGTATAGTCTTAGCTTAGTAGCTCCATTACGGTATATTTTCAAGCTGTCAGCTTCTAATAACAATAACATCTCGTAAAACAGCGTAGTCCAATCAAAAGGGGCTCATAAAATTATATCTTCAGTGTAGAGAGTACAGTGGAGTCCCTGCCCCATTCCCACTGAATTCCAAACACACTGACGTGTTTTACCGTTGGCAACATAATAAAAACATTAGGGCACTATTATGTTTAAGAGCTCTTTCAGCGAAATCGTTATTTTTGTAAACAACCCAATAAAATAAGTCACAAAGAGTATGCCAATCTTGTGGCGAATGTATTGTACAATCGTAGAAAATTGTAGTTCCACGTCTGAGAGTCTAAGTTGGATGGCAATATTAAACAGAATATTAAAATCGAATAAATATGTCATTGACCGCGACCGATTAACCTTCTGTTGACCAATGGGTGTTTAAGTGCAAACTAAGAAATTAATGAAACTCAAAGATTTTAAACGCAGTTTAGCTGAATGTTTCATTCCAATTTAATTTATTCGTAAACAGGGGGGACGGGTGGCTACAATAAACATTTACAAGCAGTTTTACTTCGCCAATTTGGACAAAGTGATAACCCATTTAAAAGGCGGGCGTTCAGTGTGTTAAGTTTGAACAGTCACTCGGAATGAGCCATTCACTGTTGCGATTAAATACAAAAAAAAAAAAAAAAACAATAACAACAATGGCCTAAAAACAAAAAAAACTTGTTGAATGTAGCTACAGCATCGGCCCGGTTCCCCACCTGTTGTTGTTGTTGTTGTTATTCTAATTATACAAATCCACTCGCAGAAAAACACGACACGCAAGCGTACGCACTAAAAAGAAACATCTACACGTCACCAAAGTTTCTCCCCCACAGGTGTGTGCACTGCCAGCCAAAGCGTAAGTCGGTCAAATATAATCAAAGACTGGTATCTGAGATCATTAAATACTTACAGAAAATGCGTCAACTGAAAGGCAAAGTCAAGGAGACGCGCAAGCAGAAGAAGGAGCGCAAATTGGATAATGTGGAGATACAAGGAAAAATTCGTACAATTGTTTTGCCGGCCATGGGCGTCATAGCTCTATTTCTGGTGCTGTTCGTCTACCTTAAAACGCGGCCTGCAGTCATTGCCTAGTGCAACGAGGCACATGCACACCGTCCCCTGGCCGTATATGTCTTTAGTGCTAAGTTAGTTTATTTTCTGAATTTAAATGTTACCTGTCCCGTGTGCAATTCGTGTCTAAAGTTGTATATTGTACAAATGTAGTCGTATGGTGTATCGTTAAAGTAAAGGAGTACCTTGCATTAAAAGCAACCTTAGATGTGGAGTGTAATTCGGAGGATTCCCTGAATTTAAATTTAATTTTCTTTGGCTTTTATATTAGTTTTTATAATAAACAAATCAGCAGCAGTGCTGGACAACGTTTAATCATAGCAGAGCTGCGTTGCAGAGGTGAATAAGTGTTGGCGGCTACATTTAAATACACAAAAATACATGCAAAAAATCCAATTCTGATTTAAAAGCTATGAATTATGTTAATTTATTATGCATTTTACATGTTTAGTCAAAGAAAAAAGCTTATAACAGTGACCATGACAACCGCGAACAGGTTTTATATTTGGCTATTGTCTATACTTTTTCACCCCAGTCCACCAAGCTGATAGCGCTAGTCGTTTGCATTTGAACTGTGTTGCTGCAATACTAATTAAATTAAATATTAAATCGGATATCAAGTGCAACGTAAATTACACCCTTGCGCAGATTTTTTTAACAGTCAGCTCGCCCAGAACGTTATCAGCGCTAACTGTGATTATCTAATCTCTGTAGAAAATTCAACGTGAAGTCAGCTGTTGGCTCACTCATACAAGCGCACACCCGCGTTTGACGTTTCGTGCACACACACTCAGTCTCATTTACACATTAAACTGGCGGCGGGCGACGGCAAAAGAGGCTTTAGTTATTCGACAATGCTTAAATTTTTGGTGAGTGAAATTAAATAGTATTATGGCACAGTGATTGGGCAGGAAAAAGGCCCCTTGTGTGTGCAGGAATGAAAAGTAACAGGATTATGGATACATCAGCGTTTTGCGTCGCATCTTTTTATGGCGATGACGTTGTGCCTGTCACCCGCGTCTCGTCATCCCACAAAACAACATTTTGGCCCAAAGAAACAAACAAATTTGGATATTAGACAAGCGCTTTCAAGGTTATATAACGATCCCAGTCAGCTCTTGGAATAACTTCAACTGGTAAACCTTCAACATATAAAACCTTAATTTTTTTGGCAAGCGGCGCAGGTCTGACGAAATTTCTACAGAATAAATTTAATATTGTACTTTAATTGAAAGCAAAAATGAAGTTGCTTGGACTGGGGTTGCAGCTGGTGAAGGCCAGAAGTGGAGCGGGCACCAGTCGCCCCTCCTACAGCTGCTGCCCGGAGATGCAGGACGCACTTCCTTATTGCCCAAAAAAACCATTTTGGAACTTCAAACGTACTCTGTGCTTCTCAATGGTCAGCCAGAAATGGATAGGAAAAATGCTCCAATGCAACCCGCTTTAACTGTTCTTTGCTTCCTCTTCTCTTGCAGCTAACCTTTGGAGCCGGAATTTACACGGGCATCTACATATCTCAAAACTATGAGGCAAGGATAATAATAATCTCTCTCTCTACCTGCGTCTAAATTGCTAATATTCTGCTCCCTTATCTGTTTCTAGGTGCCGCGTGTGGATGATCCCCAAAAGCTGGTCCAGAAAATGAACGAAAAGCTGCGAGAGCTCATTGATGACAACAAGAAAAAGTAATTCCCATAATCGTTATAAGCTCTCGGACATTGTCTTTCCTTCTGAACACCATTAACCACCCCCTCGAACACTCAAAAACTCCATAGTTACAATAAAACTTTCGACTGACCCTTTAGTTATGGCTATTAATTATTATTTAATGAGGTTCGGCGGCACTCAAGACAACAAACTATTGGGAGCGGAACGACTAATCATTTGGGACGACTCATTTATCCAATATATTAGGTTAAATATTTAGTTTTAGATAAAGTTCCCCGAAACGCATTCTAATTGAATTCCCATCTCCGCAGGTCGACCGCTGAACAGATTGTTCACGACATTAAGAAGGAGGCAAAGAAGATCTTGGATGATTAATAAAGTTTTTAAAGTTTAAACAAATTTATCTATGATCAAATAAAGTGACGTTAAATTCTAGGCCACGAGCTCTAACCAAAACTAAACAAATGATATGCCGCCGCCATAGTATTCCAAGCGAGTCTGTGGCTGCACAAAGGCCAGCCAGTCGGAGGCGTGTGTGGGCAACAGGCCCATGCTGTGGCATTTGTAGAGGGCCAGCCCTACGTTGGCCAGGTTGCCCAGGAAGTAGACGATGCGCTGACCAGTGCCCTGTGCTCCTTCGGCCATTTTCGATGTGACTTGGGTGGTGAACATTGCCTTGATGGGACGCACCAGCATCATGCCGACCATCATGATAGGGAAAATCGATATGGAGTTGCCGGACATGTACATGATGAACAGGTTCATGGGTATCTGCAATGGATCCAAAGGTTATTACCGTCTACCTGCAGCCGGCACGGGCCGGTCGACACTTACATTCTTCAGTGGTCCCAGAGCCAGATCCCATGATTTCTTGATAACCAAACGCTGATCGCGCACCACTTCGGTTTGATTCACCAGTGCGCTGGGATTGTAGCCCAGCGGAGATGGAATTTCCGCATTTTTGCTGCACGGGTGAAAAACGAAAGGGATTGTGAAAATATATCCATTGCTGTGCAGCTTCACCGCTCTTACCTTCCGTTAAAGTCCAACGCCCACTTGAATTTCTTTGAGTTTTGCTTTGCAGACATGTTGAGGTATGCTTTTTATTTAATTTAATTGATTTAATTAACAAATTGTACAATTCGAGGGTAAATTTTTCATGCAGGGTGTCTAGTGTTGCAAAAATTCAGAACCTCATAAATATACCGAAATATAGTTTCACATTTTTTAAATATACCGCAAAGATACCGTATATCCATAACATTTTCCTTGATTTGATATTCTGCTTAATGTTAACAGCTGGCTAGAGTTCTCAGCGCTAAAAATATAGTTTTATCTAATTCATCAACCAATTTTCAACTGTATTGGCTGGTTTTCATGACTTCTTTTTATGGGATTGATTGCAAAATAAGGTTAAAATTAAAACGGTCAACCAAAGAAAGAGCACTAAAAATTACATTTCTCTAAGTACATAAATAAATGGTCACCCTGCATCAGAGTCGAATAAATTCGCCGCCTCAAGCACACAAACAAACCAAAAATACCGAAAAAACGAACTTAACCCAATTAACCGTATTAGTTAAACAGGTGAACAACTTTAATTAATCAGGAAGTCCTAGCTAGTCCCGATCGAAAATTAAGAAGTGAATGAGTCAATCATCGTACAGATACAATATTATCTTGTAGATGCAGGATCAGAGGTATCTTCGATCAGAACCATATTCTATTAGCAGCATATTCCATCAGAAGCCGGTTTTAGATCTTTGTGCAATATCGCTGGTGGTGTAGTTGTACCCTTAAAAAGTGTAATGTTGATAAGATGATAAGGGGTACCTCGAGACGTGACACTCCTCCCCGTCATCGTGAGAATGTTAGGTTTGAGCCAAACGAGGCGAACATCTATTTGTAATTAAAAATTGTAGATACATAAATGTATTTCATGTATTACAAAAATGTCCAGCCGGTTTTATTTATTTAAATTTTATTTAGAATTACCTTTTAAATAGTACGTTTTCCGTTTTAATATGGTTTTATGTATATGCGTGTGTGTTTTGTTTGTTTTATGGTTGTTTCTGTTTTTTGTTCTTTTCTTGTTTTGCCAAGCGACGACACGAAACGAAGGGTGTTAAAAATTAAAATGGTTTTTGTTGTTTATTACTTCTCATTAATATTACTTTTATATTTATAAAATTAAAAAGAAATATATATTGATGAGGGGGAGGAGAGAGGGGGAGGACAAAAATAACTTAAAAAAGACATTTTTATACCATATACTTTAGTGTTTCCTTTTTCTTTTGCGATTGGTTGTTGTTGGGGTTTTCTCTTTTAATCGTTTTTCGTTTTTAAACATCCAATAATTATGTATATAAATTTAAATTAAATTATAGCGTTCTTTTATATGCTGCTTGAAAAGTTCTGTTCTTTCAAAATTCCAATTTCTTGTTTTGTAAACGGACAGAACAGGAGATGGAGGAAGGAGCCTTTTATGTTATATGCGAAGATCTCTCTGCTCTTGTTGTTGCTGCTGCTGCGGTTGCTGCTTTTGTTGTTGTTGTTGTTCTTTCTCCCACCGTTTTCCTGTGTCTGTTTAAGTCAGATGTCTGTCTGTCTGTTGGTGTTTCTGACGTTGTTGCCTGCTGGTTGTTTTCTGCTTCTGCTTTGCTTGAAATCAAAGTTAGTGTGTATTTTATCTTGTTGTTGTTGTGGTTGTTGTAGTTTTAGTGTGTGTTTAATTAGCGATTAGCGTTCTTCAGCTGATTGGACAACCAGTCGAGTCCCTCGTAGAGTCCATCGCCGCTAGTTGCACACGTCGCTTGAATGTACCAGTTGCGGTTTCTGAGTGAGTGCAAACCGAGCTTATCGGTGATTTCAGCCGCATTCATTGCATTTGGCAGATCCTAAAACGAAGGCAAAGAATAAGCGATGCATTAGTGGGGATTTACAATAATTTAAACAAATATTCTAGCTAATAAATTGGCATATCAGTCCCGTCTTGAAACAAAATAAACTTTGAATAATCATAGTAGAATCATAACAAGTTATTAACATCATCTAGAATTAGTTACAGGCCACCACATAATCAACCAAAGTGCACAGACGATTGCTCTTATCACCTTGTGTACATTTCTCACACATGTTCATTAATGAAGCTTCAACATTTGTCACCGCTTTGGTGTGTTATGTGGCGGTAACCGATTCGATTCGTCTCATGCTTTACCTGTTTGTTGGCGAATATTAGTAAGACTGCATCCCGAAGCTCGTCCTCCGCCAGCATGCGCATCAATTCCTCTCTCGCCTCACCGATACGCTCCCGATCATTGCTGTCAACGACGAAGATAAGACCCTGTAATGAACCAAAAAAGGAATACCATTAGTGTATCTATGGAGTATTAAAGCATTGATCTTTGGGGGGCTACATATTAACAAAATCAGTCCCGTCTTGAAACAAAATAAACTTTGAATAATCATAGTAGAATCATAACAAGTTATTAACATCATCTAGCAGGGGGGTCTCTGTTGCTTTAGCTGCCCATATCCGGACACTTACTTGTGTATTCTGGAAGTAATGCCTCCACAATGGACGAATTTTGTCTTGGCCGCCCACATCCCACACTGTAAAGCTAATATTCTTGTATTCTACAGTCTCCACATTGAAACCTAGAGAGAGAATCGAATAAAACATAACAGAATGAGTATCAGTGGAATAGATTTAGTTGCTTTGACTTACCAATGGTAGGTATCGTTGTAACAATTTCGCCTAATTTGAGTTTGTACAGAATTGTGGTTTTACCAGCGGCATCCAAACCGACCATCAATATTCTCATTTCCTTTTTGCCAAAGAGGCCTTTAAATAGATTGGCGAATACATTTCCCATAGTTGCTGGCTTGTCTTTCGATTCTTTTGATTGGAGGAGTAGGAATTCTGTTCTGCTGCTGCTGTTGGCCTTCTTGCTTGGCTGGAATTATTACAAGTTCAAATCCGAGTTGCAAATGCTGTTGAAAATATGCAAACTCTGGACTTGTGTGCTTGGACTTGGAGAATCTGTAAATAAAACAAACAAAATAGATATTTTAATGCTGGCTATGGTTATGGGTCTGCCAACTGAAACTGAATCAACTGACAAATAAAACAAAAGAGGGTTCGTTTGACGGGCCAACTGAATTGTTGTCTAAAACTAGCTGAAACTCTTTTGTTTGTCTTAATCATTACCCCCAAGCTGACGGTTGGTAGCTTCCAAAACTGAGTCACAACTATTCGCATATGAAATGAAGCTATAGTGCCATTAAACCACTCTGACATGAACTTTGCTTTGTAACTTTTGAGAAAGTTGAGCGCTTCTCTCGTTGGTTATATCCGACATAGTATGGGTATAATATTTGTGCCCCTTATTTCAATGTGTTGCCCGCTGCTCGTGGCTGGCTGCGAATTTCGATGTCGGCGGGTGCCGCGCTGATAAGATATCGATTTTTGTTGTTGGCAGACGATGACGAGTCTGCAGGAGGGTCGCCTTCTTCCACCCCGCCTCATTCACGAAACGTGTAAACGGGAATGCGCGTAAAATGATAAAGCCAGTGGGAAATTTGCAATCTCAGCGCCGGAACTGAGACTATAAATTCAACTAAAATCTGCGGTGAGTCACCCGGCGGCCAGACCAGCTACAGAGTCCAAGTGGCTTTGTGTGAGTTACAGCTGTCTCGTCTCTCCTGCTCCAATATGCAATTCAATTAAAGTTTTAATTAAAGAACCGAAGACGTTGCCCCCTCATCGTCGCACTCCACCAGGCGACCGAAACAAACGAACAGAGCAGGAGCCATAGCACACCAAAGCGTTGCCAACGAAACATAATGCGCACATAGGGAAGACGCAACATCACGCAATTTCCGATACACTCAAATTTAGTGATAATTACCAAAGTTTTTTTGTTTATGTTGCTCCGAATCAACTAATCAAAATGGAGAAATGAACAGTAGAAATTGTATGCCGGAAAGGAAAACGAAAACTACACGTAGCAACTTTTATTTGCCAAGCGACGACGACGACGAGAAGCGAAGGCAGCAGCTACACCAACACCCTGCACGCACACACTCGCACACCATGAGCCACACTCTAGGGTTGCCTATTACGTTGTTCGAGTAGGACGGGACGCCCTGTGCCATTGAATTAGATTCCCCGATTGCATCCTGGCCGACGTCAAAGACGCAGGACTCGAGGATAACCTCAGTAGTATATGCACACATTTAGTTTTTCTTGTCGGTAAATTACAAATTGGCATGAGAGAGAGCCATTGCTCTGAAACTTATACGTGGTTTGTGTGCGTCTGTGTGAGTGACGTATGCTTTTTTTTCTCCCTTTGAGGTTGGTGAAATGCGACGGCGGCAAGGCCTTGTTTTTTCAAATACAGCGCAATATTCAGTATATCCTTCACCAATGTCAATGAATCCAGGTTGGCATTTGTTCAACTGCACATTACACGTTTTATTTACCGATTACTTGAGCTTCTTTTGTGGATTTTTCTTTGATTAAATTTTCTCTGCTGCCAAACACACCACACACCGAATAGTGAAGAGAAATATGACGATGGAAAAAATATCGATATGAGGGCTGTGTGCCAGGCGATTAGTGTTACTTATTCATTTATCAAGGGGCCAAAGTCGAAGAAAATGTGAAAATTATATAAGACGTTGAGGTAATGTTCGATAAGAAGTAAACAAAAAATTGCAATTAAGGAACTTTGGCAATTTGAAGCGCCCAAGCTAATGAACAATTTTCTGACGATACATTTTGGGCGATTTACAATACTATAATCCACAAACTCCCCACAGCCGAGTACGTTCTTTGTATGCGTGTGTACACTAATACTAGCACACCAACATTGTCCACATTTTAGAGCCAGGAAATGAATCCAATGTTTCTCATACACTACCCCTGATTTCGACTAAAAGCACATACGCACCAACTAATTGAATCAAATGCACACAAATTTGAGCGGAAATTTTATAAATTTCTGCTTGGAAATGTCAAAAATCACAGAGCAAAATAAAACTTGACCGAGAATACACTTGCCGTTGAAAAAACTGCAAACTCACCAACATAAACGGTGCCGCATGGCGTGTGTTAGAGTGAGACACCTATGTTACCGATGGAATATGCTCTGAAATGCTGCCACGTCTCTTCTTCACTCTAGGGCTGTCACCGCTGCGGAAATAAGAAATATCGAAATGTATTCGTGAGAGATATCGAAAAGAAATATATACACACGCACGCACGTATGTTGTTTTGTAAACACAGCCGGCTTTACAAAGGTGTAGTTTAGTTAGATATTTAACGTGGCGCCCCATGTTTTATCCAAAGACTCCGTTCCTGGGCAACAGTTTGCTGGAGGGCGAAATTCTTAAAGTCAATGTGAGGAACGTCCACTGCCATGTGCACTGAAACGATAAGGCAACACTGTTTTTCAAATATTAAAACTGTTGATCTCATAATAATGTTTTTATGCAGTCGGCGGCTCTGTCCCAGCTATTGGAATGGCTCTGTCAGACTCCACGTGTGACCACCTACAGGGTGAACAGACTGCGCACCAATGTCGACACGCACAAGAAGCAATTGAAAGATGTTCTCTCAAAGCGGTATGGCCAGCGGGCACCGAGAATCTATGGACTGGCGGATCTACCCGAAGTGCTGTGCATTGCGCCACTTGAGGCGGAACTGGTGCTGCGTGAGCCTGATCCCACGCTCAAAGAGATCATTGTGGACACCAGTTGCGGAGCTGCCTTGCTGCGTGGAGCTCACATTTATGCCCCCGGCGTTCTGGCCATGGAGTCGAACACACAGCTGCAGGAATGCGTCAATGTCTATGCAGACTTGGCCGGCAAATGCAAGCGGGGCACCACCACGCGCTACGAGAGCTCGGAAAAGGTTTTTTTGGGTGTCGGCAAGGTGCTAATGCAGCGCTATCAACTGTATAATAACAAAGATGAAGCTGTGACTGGCATCGCCGTTGAAATGCAATCGAATGTCAGTGGCGTGCCCTCACTGGGCGACCTCAGCTGTGCAGATGCCCTGCTACAAAATCTGCCCTCTATTGTATGCGTGCGTGTCCTGGACCCACAGCCCGGTGAACGCATACTGGACATGTGTGCTGCTCCGGGCAACAAAACGACTCACATTGCCGAGCTAATGGGCGATAATGGATGCGTCGTGGCGTTGGATAACTCTGCGAGTCGTGTGCGCGGCATGCAAACGAAACTGAACTCCTATCGGAGTATACAGGCGCACGTCTATGACTCCACAAAGGCGGTGGCAGCGTCGAGCGATGCGGCTTGCCCAGCAGCTCCACCCTTTCCATGCGACAGCTTCGATCGCATTCTTCTGGATGCTCCATGCAGCGGTTTGGGCAACCGTCCGCAGCTGTTGTGCAGCATTAAGCAGGCCAAGGTGCTGCAGTCCTATCCAAACATTCAGCGTCGTCTGCTGGGGCAGGCCGTGCAACTGTTGCGGCCTGGCGGCATCTTGGTATACAGCACTTGCAGCGTCACCGAGGCCGAGTGCGAGGGCATTGTAGCCTGGGCGCTGCGAAAGTATCCCGAACTACGTCTGGTGGATGCCACACCTCGGTACGGTGGTTCCGGCCTGCCACTCCCCGATCTGGAGGCAACGCAATCGAGTCTGCTGCAGCGCTTTGGCCCCTGCAAAGATATCGACACTGTGGGTTTCTTTATTGCGAAATTTCAGAAGGATAGTAAATGATTATTCAAGTTATTGGTTGTTTATTTAATTGAATTTGAGTTTCCGTGCCGGAAACACTAGCGTAGAGATTTCCATGCAGAATGGGCACAAATATGAAATAAACAACACAAATTGATGATAATAGTTTTGTTTAGATTTCTAAATGTTAAAATTACTTAGAGAAGTTTACAATTCACATCTATCGTAACGTTAATTATAGTCTATATTTTATTTTAGAATTTCTTAAGACGAGTATTTTTCCTGTTTAAATGCAAAACGATGCATTTTTCTCACACTCTCTCAGTTGCCTTCCAACAGGCCTTTTCAAATTTATAATTTAATTACTATTTAGTGTGTGTTTGTTAGGGATTAGGGTGAAAAGAATGCCATGGCGTTGGCATAGATCTGGTTGGATCTCGATCCCTTTTCTTCCATTAATTAATAAGTCGCCCCGCAATTGATTGATCAAATATTATCTATACGATTTTTGTTGCTTGTTTATTTGTTGCCGTTCCAGCTTAGCTTTTCCCAAATGTTTTCTACTCCACTAAAAATTGTTGGCAAAATATTTAGTGATATGGAAAGAAAACTTGTACAAAAAATTAAGGAAAAAAACCAAAGGTGCAGTTTAGTCATGGGGATGTACCCCAAATGTCATCATTAATTAGTTGGTGTTCTCGGGAATGTCCTACCCCTAAACGAAGCCGCGCAGGTGCAACGACGACCAAGTGCTCTCTCATTCTATATATGCAGTATGTATATCGTGTGGGCTTAGGAGCTACGCCTAGTGCTAGGTTAAGAGACTATTAACAACATGTTTTTTTACGTCTGGATGTTGAGGGTCTTGAACTGCTCTTCGTTCATCTCAGTCATCATAAAACTGCCATCCTGTAGCAACAAAACGACGCGACGTGTTCCACCTGAAAAAGGTTGGGCAAAGAGTTTAATAAACGGTTGAAGGGGAGGATTATCATTATGGATTCTCACCAGGTGAGGGCATATCCGCTTGCACTACTTCAGCTGGTATTTGGGATTCGATGCCATCGCTGTCAGAGGTTGTGATGTGAATTTGAGCAGAGACCGGTGTGCCCGTGCCGGTGCCAGAACTCTCCTGCTGCAGTGTGGCTGCCTGATGTTGGGCCAGCTCCTCTTCGGTCATGGAGACGAGTATTTGCTCGCCATCGGATGTGGCTGCTGCAGCAGAATGCTCACCAGCTTGGACAGCCTCAGCCACGGCATGGTCTAGCGAGAGCACATCCTGATCGTCGCCCTCAGCGGCGGCTACGTAGGCAAACTGTTGCTCGCCATCCGGACCCTGGGTAACCAATATGGTCTGCCCCTCGGCATTCTTGCCAGCCACCTGGTAGACAGTGCCATCTTCTCCTCTCACCAGCAGAGCTGAGCCATCCTCGTTGGTCAGCACCTGCTGATCACCTCCCATGAGCGCATGTGCGGCTGCCTCCAGCTGTTCGCGCTGCTCCTCCTGCATCTGCTCTTGTTCCGCCTGCAGCTGCGACTCTTCGTGGCCAATCAGCTTGCCCGTGATGGGGCACAACTGGGCCTGATGATGGTGCAGCTCCTCCTCCAGCTCCAACTGGAGAGGCGTGGGCTGTGGCGCTGGCTTGGGCGCTAGCCTTTGCCTTTGCCCAGGTGCCAGCACCTTTTGTAGCTGCGACTGGGATGATTGCTGGGCCTGGCGTTGCTGACGGGCCTGGGCCTGGCGCTGGGCAATTATCTCTTCTCGGGTGACCACCTTGCGCGTGACCTTCAAGTCGCCGGACTTGGACAGCTGCAGGATCTTCTGCTCGGGTGTGACCACTTTGGAGCCAGCTGCTGGCGACGCTTGCTGCCGTAGCTGCGGCGTTCCTGGGCCAGCGCGTGCCAGTGGTCGGCCGCCGGGATGTGCTCTCGTCGGTGGCTGTGTGCGAGTCTGTTGTGGTGTGCCACCCATTGGACGACGCACTGTCGTCGTTATTAGTCCACCCTGACCAGGGGGTCGTAACACCTGCTGGCGCTGACTCACAGTTATAGGCGAACTTGATTTAGAGTGTGCCGGCCGCGCCACGCTCAATCTCTTGGCTACGCCTCCCCCTGCCACTGGCGTGGCTGATGCGCTGGTCTTCTGTGCGGTGGCCACTGGTGTGACGGGTGGTGTCGGTTCCGAGTGTTCAACGCGGAAGACGCCAGTATTATTGCTGGCTATCTCCGAGCGGGTAAGATAGCGCACAGGACACTCGACTTTATCTTTCTTCTGTAACGAACGGCAAGAAAGTTTTAGAGAACGTTTTATGGAGATAATCTCTTATTTTATTTACCGAGAGCAGAGTGTTTGGCATTTCGGGTTTGCGAAACATTCCAGAGCTGGTGGTGTCCTCCGTGTAGATTATTTCTCCCATTTTGTTGCTGTCAGCTGCGGACGTAGCAGAGTTTCCATTTATTTTTGAAGACGCTTGCCTCTCAGCCGACTGGACACGCGACTTGCTCTGCTGCACGGAGCTACCGCCGTTTTTTAAACGCTTCACAGTGTGTGCGGGCAGATCCTCCTCGAGATCCTCCATATCCGCGGACTCATTCACTGCGCTATCGTCCATACTGGAATCCGTTTGATTGAACTTACGTTTGGCGGGACCCGACGACGCGGCGGCTGCCCATTCCTGCTCGTTGGCGGATTCATCGTCATTGGCCGAGGAGGGCGATGAGGAACCATCACCACCGGCTGTATCTGTCACCCACTGCTTGAACGCATCCATGGCCTTGGTTTTGGAAGTGCGCGATGGTCGAGATATCGGCGATACCTGTGCCTGCGGCGGGGCTGGACTGAGTGGAGCTGCGGCATCACCTTTCGAAGAGGGCACTGGATTCTGCAGCCGCTTCAACGCATCCAGTCCCTTCTCTCTGGTCATCTTCTGTCGCGCCAGCTGCTTCTCAAACATTTGCAAGAAGAAGGGCACATTCTCGAGATTGGACATCACCTCCCAGGTGTTCTCATTATGCGTACGATCCACCCATTTAACCAAATACTCGTGCGTCTTGCGTCTCGGATTGTAGCGTTTCGCGACAATCTTCTCCACAGCCTCTTCGGTGCGCTGTTCGGTCTTCGAATCAATACGGGTGGCTATGCGATTGTTCGGCTTGACAGCGCCACCACTCGATGCGGTGGTTGTGGCTGGCAGGGTTGGGGTTCCTGGCTTAGACTTGGGCCGTTCGTTCTCAATGTCTTTCAGCTGGTTGGACACGGTTGGTTGCTTGGTTGGCGATTCTGAAAAGAAGATGTGAGTTTTTAGACCATCTCGCCATTGCAGTCACATTGAAAGAATGTTGCTGGGTACCAACATTGAATCAATCACGACTCTGCTTTAGATTTAAACATACTTCTGGTTGGGGATAAGCTTGTGTTGTTGTTGCTGTTCGATTTGTTGTTATTGTTGTTGGGATTCACAACCGTCTTGGTGATGCGCACTGGCATATCCTGCAGCTGTCCATGTGCGATCTTGCCAAAGGACTGTATAGTCCTGCCAGCCACAATCCATGGCTCCCTCACGCTCTCCTCCAGCCTCACCCAATGCTGGTACATGGCCCACGAGTTACTCGCACTCGATTCCTTGCGCGCGTGCAGCTGCGTGGCCTTCCACAATGAAAATGCCCAGATTGATGGCTTTGTGTCCAGCGAGTCCTTCAAGCTGGCATTCTCCTTCTCGCAGGCATCCTCTTTGTGCGCCTGAAACTCCTCGACAAAGTTGTAGGCCTTCAGGCAGCGTCCACACACGAGAACATCCATGTTTGCCAGATCCTCCTGGGCAGCTGGGGGAGTGAAAGCGAAAGTAGTTACTTTTATTGCTTGCCATTTTTCTGCCATTTTTTTTTGCTTCACTTACCTCCGATAATATTTGCGTGCTTGCCAATTTCCGTCGGTGCTATCTCCTGTGCCAACATTATACACAACACCAAAGCCTACGGTTCTGTCGAAGGTGCATTTAAAATATAAATTAAAAATCTATTTATTTGTTGTTTGCTTTTTAAAACGGAACAGCCAACAGGGGAAGGAAAAAGTACAGTGCCGTGGTGTATTTGTCTCAACATGGGTGGCAACGCCAATTGTCTGCGTGTGTGCCCAGAATGGTGGGTTTCGCTAATGCAGCGGCGCGGCGCCTTGGTTACAGTCAAAATACCCAAAAAATGCAGTGCAATGCAGCGAGCTGGACTCACGCAGAAAAAGGGAACACGGGGTGACACTGGGGAAGGGGATGGTACACACGATGGGGCATTTATATTGTTTATATAAAAACAAATCATTTATGCAATTTCAGTTTTTTTTATTTCTACAGCTTATATCATGTTTTATAGTACTCGCATTCATTTGCTAAAAGACAAACAGTGCAATTTAATAGCTGCTTCATTTAATTTACACTTTTTAATATGTATACCGATTCCCGCTCAAATTGCACACCAGCTATGTTTGCAGTTTCTCAACTTTTTCGAGTCCCACATAAATCAAAGAAAATTGCATCCACATTATACTGCGTTATTTACACACCTTCATAAACCAAATCGATGGCAAATTAAAGTTTATATTGTTATTTTGAATGTTAATGTTACTCCAACTGATTTCTTCAACTTCAACACCTTCTTGCCTCCAATTGCCCGCGTGAACTCTGAATGCCAAAAGCAAAACTGTGTCTGGTTTCACGGAATACAGGCCAGCGCTGCTTTTGCTGCGGCCAGGGTGACTTTTGTATGAGCTCTTTCTGAAATGTATACCAAATATCCTATTTGGTAGGTTATATCTGCGATTGTCGAATATAGTAATTGTATAAATTGAAGCACATTTTTTGCTAGCCCGTCACATATCTATTACACGTACGCACTTTTTAATGTAGTTTCACGAATTATGCAGCGCTCAAATGCTCGACTAAGAGTGTAGTGGACCTTTCCGTTCGTACACATAAATTAGCACTTGCTAGGCCAGTCGCGTGGCGTGGTGAAATTATTTACCGATATGGTAACTTTGTGCACCCTGATGTTTTTCAATAAATTTAAATTAAATAGTTGAGCTAAAGAGATAAAACCTAGGTTGTATTTTTATAATTTTAGTTGTATAATAAGCGTTATGTAAATAATTTACCAACTGGTTTGGAGAGTTAAACTTTTTATCGATGGCAAGATTTGGCAACCCTCAATGTTTTGTTTTTTTGCTGCCGTTGCATGTGTACACACCTTCACCGTTGCCGTTAAATTTTTATATTCGATTTATTTTATTTTATTTTAGAGTTTAGTTTCCTGCTGGTAATATTAAATGGAATATCAAGATCGTGGAAAACGATTTGGATTTACTGTATATTTCGAAAAAAGAAAAGTATATTTCGGTATATTTCTGAGGGTTAGACAGTATATCGATAAATCTCAATCGCAGCACTGTTCCCCAACATTTCTCATGGAATAAGCAACATTTAGTACCGTGGAGAGAAGGATGTCCTCGAATTGAGAAAATGCTTGAAATCTTTGGCTCGTAAATCTGCTTTGGAGGGATATCTTAACAAATTTTGCATAATATAAAAACATTAAGGCATTATTATGTTTAAGAGCAGCTTTGAAAACGAAATGTTTATATGAAATAATGGAAACAGGGTACACAAAGGAACATACTACAGGGTGGCCAGAAGCAAAAATGTCTACTTCGTTTTTTTCTAAGCCTTTCAGCTAAATCGTTATTTTAGTAAACAATTCAATAAAAGAAGACATGAAGGGTAGGCCAATCTTGTGGCGATTGTACAATAAATCGTAGAAAATTGTAGTTCTACTGCTGAGAGTCTAAGTTGGATGGCAATATTAAACACAATATTAAAATCGAGTAAATATGTCTTTGACCGAGACCGATTAACCTTCTGTTGACCAAGGGGTGTCTATTTAAAAGGCGGGCCTTCAGTGCGTTAAGTTTGAACAGTCACTCGGAATGAGCCATTCACTGTTGCGATTAAATACAAAAAAAGAAGCATTTCGCTAAGACATTGTTTATTTAATTGTTTGCCGCTTAGCTAAATAAAATATCATGGCTGATGACGACCGTGATGATCAGAAGGAGTACCGCTGGGAGACGGGCTACGAGAAGACATGGTAATATTGTGTAATAAATGAGAAATCCGCACAACTCAATGTGGTGAAATCTTTCAGGGAAGCCATCAAGGACGACGAGGATGGACTGCTGGATGGGGCCATTGCGGATATTATCCAGAAGGCCAAGCGCCAACGGCAGGCGCAAAAGACAAAACAGAATCGGCTGGGAATGATGCGGCATCTCTTCCTCATACTCGACTGCTCCGAGTCGATGAGTGTGCCCGACCTGAAGCCCACGCGGCTGCGTTGCACCCTCAAGCTGCTGGATCAGTTCATCGAGGAGTTCTTCGATCAGAATCCCATTAGCCAGATGGGCATTATTGCCCTGAAAGCGAAGCGAGCGGAGAAAATAACCGAATTGACGGGCACTTCGCGTGTGCATCTCAAGGCACTGGAAAGGTAAGCAGAGGCGAGATTCCACCGCATGGCTTGGACAGCGTATGAAACCAGTCTGTTGTCCTTAGCCTGGCAAATGTGCCGCTGACCAGCGAGCCATCGCTGCAGAACGGCCTGGACTTGGCATTGAAGACCCTCAAAGTTGTGCCCTCGCACGCATCGCGGGAGATTGTCATCGTGATGGGCTCCCTGACCACCTGTGATCCAGTGGACATAAATCTAACCATCGATGAGCTGAAGAAGGAGGGCATACGCTGTTCGGTCATCTCATTGTCTGCAGAGATTCACGTCGCTCGCTATCTAACCCAACAGACAAGAGGCACTTTCGGCGCTGTCCTGGACGATGCACATTTTCGGGATCAACTGATGTCGCAGGTGGATCCGCCGCCTGCGGCCAAGACACAGCACAACTCGCTCATTCGCATGGGCTTTCCGCACACCAAGAACGAGGTGGAGGGCAAGGATGCACCGCTCTCGATGTGCATGTGCCACATAGAGAATCTGGAGGAGCCCAGCGAGCTCTGCACCACCGGCCACCACTGTCCGCAGTGCAATAGCAAGTACTGCGAACTGCCCGTCGAGTGTCAGTCGTGTGGCCTCACTCTGGTCTCGGCGCCACATCTCGCCCGCTCGTACCATCATCTGTTCCCCGTGCCCAACTTTGAGGAAATTCCATTCGAGTCGCTGCCGAAAGCCTCGGAACGCACCACGGAATGCTACGCTTGCATGAAGCTCTTTGGCCCACTGGCAGACAAGACGGTGTTCAAGTGCGGCTTCTGCAAGCAGCTGTTCTGCCTCGATTGTGATATCTTCATACACGACACGCTGCACGCCTGCGTGGGCTGCAACACCATACCCGGCGTCGATGGATTGGTCTACCAACAGAGCAGCAAGACCGTCGCGGATGATGTGCATGCCGGAACGTCCAAGCATCGTGGACAGTTTAGCATCTAGCTAGCCATTTGCATCTCCGATCATCTGCACTGTAAATAGTTACTAAAAACCAACAACAACTCCATCGTAGCATAGGGCGAATAATATACACCGATTCAGTTCAATTCCACTTCGTGATTCGCATCATTATAAGGCATTGTTGGTTGCTGCTTTTGGTCTGAAGGTGAACGCAGAACCTCTATGGCTGTGCCCATTAACATTCATAGTTAATTTTTAGCTTGTTTGCTGCTGCTTTGAGTTGAGTTCGTCGCCAGCGTTCGAAGCATTCGGTTGGGCTGTGTTTTTACTTGTTTTGTTATTTGTTTTCATTTGATTCGATCGCGGCTTCTACAGGTGTTCTCTGTGATCTGTTTTGTTGTCTGACGTCTGAATAAGGTACGGGTGATAATAATAACCAGACGAGGGGGTGTGTGAAGAGTCGAGGGAGTTTCCCAGTTTGTTTTTTCGGAGTCCGTACATAAATAATTATGGTTGCTGCTTTAAACTAGTATTCAACTGGTTTCAGCTGAGCCAGACTGCCAGCACCATTGATTATTTTATTACGGCTTGAAAACGGATTCGAGTGGCACAAACTTTGAAAGTTCTAAGGCAATTTCAAAACAAAATATGGAAAACTACAGCTGTGTCAGCTGTGTCCTTGCCATTTCATTTGTTTAAATACTCGCTCATTGAAGCTGATTTAAAACGCAAATCGCAGTTAAACGACTGGCAGACAGTCTAGCTTAGTCTCTGCAACTAATTACCGACTATCCCCAGCGGGGATAGGCATACCTGCCTATACCCCACTTAATTTCACACATACGAGAGTAGCAGCATTCACGGAATAAAGACATTTCCGCATGGGGCAGAATCAAGCGAGAAATCGCAAATCTTTTCGGGTGATAATTGTGTGTGAAAGTGGAATGAATCGGATACAAATAATATCACTCTCGTTTTTGTCAAAGGGTTTTTTTGGGGACAATTAAAAGCAAATTGAAATAACTGAAGCGGCAAAGAAATTCGTGGACGCTTCAGGTTTCCACGACCATCATTATCATTTGGAAAATTGCATAGGCAAAATATTTTGCACAGAGGGAAGAGGCGAGCGAGGAACGCCTCGACTGCCCGGGGAAAACTAACCGAAATTTGTTCGTAATAATAATTTATGCAGAAATAGCCTGAAAGTGAGTTCTCCAATTTGCGAGGCTTGTTGGCCAGGCCAAGCCAAAGGGTGGCAGACTTTGAAGCTGAAAAACTTTTCTCCGGCTAATCACTTGTTAAGTAATTTGTTACGGCATGTTCGGTTGGGGCTCGCTGGCAGAAAGGGGCTTTACGGGCAACCCTTCTAGACACACACATCCAGCCCACCATCGATTTGATTGGTATTTTCCCTGGGGCAAAGTTATTTGCATTGTTTTAGAAGTTGTTTGGCAAATTGTTGTGAATATTAATATAAACACTAGACCTACACTCTCTCTCTGGCAATTTGCAATCACTGATTAAAATATGATGTCTGCGGAATCGACTTCAAAAGCTAAACATTAATTTGCAAAGTTACGAATTCACGAGATGAATAATTATACACTGAAAGTAAGTACACTGAGGCAATCAAATTCTTAACATATACAACGGAAGTTATGCAAGTCCCATTAGCAGGGGGTTTGGGACTGGCCCCAGCCCCTCCATGTGCTGCCGAGCCCATTTTTGGTGGGTTTAATTTTATATATTGCTAAATGAATGAATTAATTGAATAAAGGGGCAATCCAATTAGCAAGTTTGCAGCAGTCAAAATGAGAAATCGTTTCTTATATCGGGACATAATTTAATTATTATCTCCGCTTGGGGGATGCGAGTAGGCGATTGTTTATAAATACATTACATTAATTTACTCACAAATAGATATTAATCATTCTAGTGGTTGTTTTTGTAATCTGTGCAGCGTACATTTTGTAAATTATTAACAATCTATGGTAAAGCCACAGACAAGAATTCCGCTTTCATTGCTCAAATCAGCACAAAAACACATCATCAACAGACGGAAAATAGCCTTCCGGCCAATTGAAATGAAATTGATAATCCTATTTCCAGCTATCCATTCATATCCATTGATTCGCCTTTCATCGTACACAAAAAAATATGACAAGGATTTAACAACATAAAAAATCCCCTCGATTAATGACGTTAAATGGAGTTTTTTTTCCTCAATTCTTTCATTTTTTATTTGGCTTACCTCCAAACGCAATTATGCAATAAATGCTTCTCAATGTTTGCACAACTTTTTAATTATAAATTGTTGAATTACTAATTTACGAATACGGCGGCGAATGCAAATTCGCAAACGGCTTGAGGGTGCATAGGCAGGCCATCCCACCTACTAGCCCCTTCCCCTGTGTACTAAAGGTATGTATACTAAAGTTAGTAGTTGCAATTTAATTGCAGCTCACATCGGGCCGTGCATGGCCTTAACCCGATTTCCATTAAGCGTGGCCACACCACCTGGGGGGAAAACCGACCACTGCCCGGGAAAACCCCCCCGTTGCAGCCAGCAGGTGTGGGCTGTGTGGTGTCTGTAATTTGAGCGTTTGGGAAAACTTTTTGGAGCTACGCACTCGCCTAAATATGTTGCATGCAGAAGGTGTAGCAGGGCAGCGAAACTTAGTCGGGTGATTTCCAAAATTTAATCTGCCAACTGATTTAAAGTGAAAGTTTGTCTCCTGTAGATACAAATATGAAATACTGATCAAATTCATTTTCAATATATGTCACTTGTAGTAATTTCTCCCTTGGTCTAAGCATTGAAAGGCCGCTGGGGTTAATACACCACACCTTTAGCCATAGCCACCAAACAATTGAGAAAATTAATAACTGTAAACAGATCTATTGCCATTACTCTCTCACACCCGCTCTGGCTGATGCTCTCATTTGGTTATTGGTTTCCCTTGCACATTCTCCTTCGCCTGCTCACGCTCTCTCACACACACTCTCTCTCTCTCTCTCTTTGCGGTTACAGATCTTAATTGCAGTTTGTTTAGCGTAATTCAAGCCCGCTGAGCGGTGTGCGCCGGCAGCAGTACGTGTTTTAACAAATTAAAACTTTTTTTGTCCCTACGCTCAGCTTCGATCTCGGTGTTATTAGGTATAAAATAAGGCGCGAATGATAAACGGAGAATACTTCAATTTAAGTGTCGTCGCGTGACTGTCGTTTGTGTTTGCCTTTTTTTTGTAACTGTAATCTTACGCGGAGTTGCCTGGAGTTGCCTGGAGCTGCTCTTCCCATATAATATAATACGAATCGAATCTGCAACGGAGTAAGAGCACGGTAATTCCGGTTTCAGAGCTTCTCTTTTTTGTTTTTTTTGCACAATTTTGGTTCTTTATTGTTTTCAGTGGACTTTCCTTTTGATTTTGTATTCCACGCATTTTGGGTCATAAATGACATCATTTTTTTTAGTTCGTTTTTGCGGCATAAAGAGAGAAGAGAGATGTACACGAATATGGATGTACACGTTTGTATGTGTGTATGTACGGTACATGAATATGTATTTATTGTTTGCCTGCGGTGCTTTTTATTGTTTTGTAGTTTTGGAGTGTTTTTGTCTCTGCATTGGAAGGTCACCCACAATCCTATCATTAACGACTTCAAATTAGAAGTGGAACTTTGCCTAAAGCTGATCTATGTATAATGAACTTTAATTTTGTCCTAAGCTTCAAACCGGTTCCCTTCCGGCACTCTGATTTATGGCGCACCTTCGTAAAAGTACTTGCAAAAACACTCTTCGCAATGATAACTTGCAAAGAAAAACAAATGCCTCATGGCAACTGGGGGGCTTGCACACACACACACAAACACAGAGAGAAAACACAGAAAGTGAACTGATTAGCTTGACCGATAAAATAATCTTGTCAGCGTTTAGGTGGACATGGACGAATATAGAAAATCTCTATCAACAGATTGCTTTCTATAGGTATATATATTTCCAATGGAAGAGTTATAGTATGTGTACCAAGTATAAACGATATCTTAATGGGGGGGTTTTACATTGTAATCGCCGACTGCTGATAACAAGCACACTTCTACAGGGGAGAGAGAGGCACTTACACGGTTTGAGCCAGCGAACATTATGTGGCCAGTCAGTCAGCCTCTTGGCATTCCATTTGACTTGGTTTTTAGCGCACACACAGAGAGGATTTCCATCTGCATAATTAACCCGGCTGAGTAACCCTTGCAACTGCGACCTCTTGCTCAGCGAATGTCAAGTCAAGAAAAGTTCTGGTTCCCCCCCCCCAAACAGAGCAGTCAAATACAAAAAATGCAACCGCATGCGGCGGCCGCTTCAAAGTCACAAACAATTTACAAGCCAGAGTGAGCACTCAACAAGCCGCATTTAAATACAGCCAACCCATTGTTGTGGCACCCGCGACTCCCCCGCGACAAGCCAATCCTCACCTGACAACCAGCTAATAAAAATTGTTAATATTATGAAGTACTACGGGAACGAAGGCACAATGTTCTACTCCAGTCAAATTGAAACTTTTTCGAAAACAAAACAAACGAAAAATGTATACAAAACCATTCAAAGGCGAGTTTAATGCGGCTGCTGGGGAGAATTCTTCAGCGAGTTCAGTGACTCTCGCAGTTGTGGGTGGGTGGGGCAAAGGTAATCTACATAATTATAGATGCCTGAATGGGCACAAGTTGCTACCAGAGAAAAACGAATGGCTGCTATCAGCCCGGAAAAGATATCGTTTTTGGCAACATTTCGTTAGAACGGAACACACTTCTTCACTTATCAACAAAAACTCAATTGAATGTCTCTTTCATTTGTACATGCTTCGTGTCAACACAGACGCCAACATCCTACCGGCCAGATAACGAAGTTCCCCCTCTACCCTCCCTTAGTGTCCATGCTGTGCCATAGATAAAACTGAAGCAACACCTCCCCATCTATCTCTCTGTCCGTTTATCAGGCGGAGGGAGACTCACGATTAACAGGGGGAACATCGCTCAGAGAGTGCAGCTATTAGCCAGTCGCCTATCTTGAGGAGTCTTGCCAAATGGAGGGCCTACTTTAATTGCATCAGATATACCCGCACTCGTAGACGTATTAGACGTATGAAATTATATAGCCCCACAGGCCGACTTTGCACTAAGCCAACGCATGGAGTGCCGCTGCCTCCTGCCTTCGCTACGTCAAGAATTCTCGGGCGATTAATCTCCAGAAGTGTCTGGCCCACAGCGAAAGATAACATAGCCATGAACGATTATGTGGCGAACCAAAACTCAGGCGATTGTACATATTTTTTGGCTAATTTTTATGGAACGTCTGGGAGGCGTTATAAACCTCCCGACCCAACTGATGCCATCTAAATCCACCACAGGAAAGTTGAAATAAAATTGGCAAAAATATTTATAATCCTCTCTGGGCTAATTGTGGGCCATTAAAAATTAAATTCCAAAGTGCGTAAATAATTATTATTTATGGAGTGTGCTTCAATGGCCAGTAGCAGGGAAGAACTATTTAAATGGACCTCTCGAAGTGGGGAAAACTACTCTGCAGATGCAGACTTCAGATATAGAAACGGGAAATCGTAAAAATTCAGTTCGATGCGATCATAAATTAAAGCAGGGAAACAAATATGGTACAACCATAAATCGATTGGGCACTGCACTGACAAAACCCATCAAAAAACAAAAAAAAAAGATATCGCTTGGTGCTCGTATTTGTGCCACAAAGCAAGCGAAATATTTGTTATCCCTGGGTAGTTATCCATGAGACTTAACGGCGCAAAAGGTGTGAAACTGTTTAACAAAGAGTTTGCTCAATGGGCAGCTCAAATATTTGCAAGTAATCGAAACATAAATTAGCAATCAATTAGGACATGCCCACGGTCTACGGTCTGCTGGGGTTCCAGTGATTTATCAAACAAAACTGACGTCACAGCGCGACACTTCTGACGTCAAAATGTCTCGTCAAAAGAAGTGCTAAATGCAGGCAAAGTGGTACCAAATGTAGACATTTGTGCTGTTTCAGGTACCACCCACCGATTGTTGGCTTTAAAATCTGCGACTGCGACTGCGACTTGCGTGGCTGTGGATTATGTTTCACTGGTGGCAAACTAGGCCTACTGCTTACTGCAGACCCGACAAAACAAGATTTGATTTGTTATTCAAGTTTGACTAGACTGTCGTTACCGCGCCACAGGCCCCACAGACCCAGAGGCACAGCCATTAGCTGCCCCAGAGCAGCCGGTCTCCGCGTGGTCACTGCTCTGAGCCGAGCTTTTCACTCGAGAAGTATTTTGACAAGTCATTGGTCTGGCCCGAGGCTGCGTCTGCGTCTGCGTCTACTTCTCTCTCTCTCTCTCTCTCTCTCTGGCCAGTCTAGCGCGTTTTAAATGCTTTTTACCCAACCAAGTCTAAGAGGGGCTTACGGGCTGGGGGAGGACGTGCTGTTGGTATGGAAAATAACCAAAAGTAAATGTGAAAACTTTGGTTTGGCCAAGCCGGAATGTTAATATCACCCACACAACTGTTGCCAGAACGATCAAGCTTCCCGCGCCGCCCAACTGTGTCAAGGTCGCACGGCAGGCAAGCAGGCAGTCGCACGTCTCATCGTAGGTCTCGATCAGTGTCAAACGGGTGCAACGGCCTGCATTCTAAACGAAGCTGAAGCCGTCCGTCCGTCCGTCCGACCGTCGCTTGCAAGTGTAACACTCTAGATTCATGGTCTGCCCCCCGGCCCCGGCCACGGCCCCTGTGAGCGCATTTTTCGTGCAACGAGCGAACGTGTCTGAATGTTTGGTTATCAGCAGAGACCTAAAAGTGGGCTGTAACTGTATTGTTCACACACAGTGTGATGATGATATGTGGCAGCCACAATTGCTAACGACTCTCTCGTCGAGGGCTGGCAATCAATGGCACGAGCCAACACAGAAATCAGTCATAAAAGAAAAAACAAAATGCCCAAAAAGGAGGGGGCTTATCGGCTGGTTGGCTGTGACGTCAGGAACGATTAGGAGCACCTGCTTAATAACTAGAAAACAGCTTTTATCGCTGGTATTTGTCGTATAAAGATTTATGTAATTGGGATTTGTTCTGTTCGTGCCAATCGGGAACGAATCGGGGACTAAAGCCCTCGCCAAAAATAAAATTCGGATTGAACCGGAAAGCACTCAATGCCCTGCGCTGCGATATCTTCGTTCTGCGTTCGCTGCTTTCGTTTGGCTAAAAAGTTGTTAACAATATTTGCGAGCAGAGCGGCGAGCAGCGAGCAGAGCGCCGAGCAGCGAGCAGAGCGAAATCCAAAGCTTTAACCGTTCCAACAGCAGCGGCCCACGATCAGAAACACTTTGGAGCGCGTCGCGCGCGGTAACTTGATCGGCACAAAAATAGTTAGTTTAGTTAGTAAAAGTTTTCCCACCGTCTCGAGTGTTGTCTGGCGAGCAAAGTGAAAAGCCAAAAGTGTTTGACTGGAAATAAAAAAGAGGAAAACGAATTAAAAAGTATGTTCCAGGTGATATTCCGGCAGAGAGCAAGGACTCCACTGACTCCAACCCACTTTATGTTCTTACCCACGAGCAGCCAAATCCCCCCTAATCAGAGTGGGGGGATCATTGTTTATATGACTCAAGTCCCGAACCCGACCTAAAACAAAGAGAATGATCATAAAGTTAACAATTTGCGGTGCCTATAAAATTGTGCAATTTATAAGAGGGCCCCCCACAGTTCACCCTCTCCGAGTGTATTTTTATCAAAGGAACAAGAAAAATATAATAAAAAAAATACTTAGAGGAATGCGGCAGAGGCCGGCTGACTGTTTTGACCACGCAGCGGCAGCATGTTCGAGGAAGTTTCTTGCCGGGAAATCCCCCAGAAAATTTGCATAAAACTCGAACCAATATTCTGACATTACTATTCTACAGGCAGCTTTTGAATTAATTGGACTTTGCAGTGACCCATAAAACTAGTCGACCTTCGATCACAGATGATTTAACATTAAGAGCCAGCCACGGCCCCTGCCCCACTTGGGATTAGACTTTTAAGACATCTCAAAACAGGTATTGCCCGCTGGGTGGGGAAAAGCGAAAGCCTAGTCGGAACGCTATCTGCAAGGAGTTTACTTTCGCTGTGGCTGCCCTTGAGTGCCACAAGTGAGACTCTTGAATGGTCTATTAGTGCGCGCATTAACACCGATTTCTCGCTGCTAATCAGCCTGCCAATCAAAGATAAGATAACTTGCCAGGGCAGGGACAGGCACAGGGACAGGCGCGTGCTCATCGAGCAGCCACTTATCAGGATTACCAACAGGTCGACAAAAATATTACACTTTAAACCCTCGATGGCCTGGGTTACCGAAGCACCATTAAATGGCCTTTCAAAGACATTGTAAATGGTGAGACATATCGATTAGGCGTTGTATATGACACTCGGGCTTGTTGTTGGCTGATACATTCTCGGAATGATGGAATACCCACTCGATTACGTTTCGTGCTTAGGGTTTAATCTGTGCACATAAATAATCCTCCACAACTTATCGCGGCTATAATTCGTTACCAACTGGATAATCAGTGGTAGCACTTTCGAGAGAGAACTGATGGTGAAATATCTGTGGCACTGGAAATACTTTTGTTTTGTTGCTGGATCTGCTGGAAACTTGTAGCTGTCATCGCGTTTTCCACTGCTCATAAACCACATTCGTACGCCGTAAAGTTCATCAATTATTCTCGGCTCAAAAAAAGTCGTTGGAGTACATTCAACAGGCATTAATTATACGAATACAGATGTTAATGCCCTCTCCCCTGTTACCAGTAACGAGTTACTTCGCCATGAGTCATTGCCACAAAGATACAGCCAACAAATGTTTTTAGGGCTGGCAAATCGGCGGAGCTATCAAGACAGACCCCGAGGCAGTGCGAACCACTTGTCGGGGAGTTATGTTTGCTCGATCCACTCATACTCCCGATTAGATATGCTTTAGTCTTGACCTGGACAATGTCTAATTGATGTTTCTTCTTACCATTCCTTTTAGTTATGGCGAAATTCTGGAATGCACTCACACGCCGCAAAACGGACGATGTCAACGAGGGCGAGTCCCAGCTGGCGCGAGTCCTTAATCTGTTTGATTTGACGGCCCTCGGTGTGGGCAGCACACTCGGACTGGGCGTCTATGTGCTGGCTGGACAGGTGGCCTACAACATTGCCGGTCCGGCGGTCACCATTTCCTTTCTGATTGCCGCCGTTGCCTCCGCCTTTGCGGGCATTTGCTATGCGGAGTTTGCTGCTCGTGTGCCCAAGGCTGGCAGTGCCTATGTCTACAGTTATGTGACCATTGGCGAGTTTGTGGCCTTCACCATTGGCTGGAACTTGATCCTCGAGTATGTGATTGGCACTGCCAGCGTGGCTCGCGGCTTGAGCGGCTACTTTGATGCGCTGATCGACAACAACATGTCCAAGGCGCTGAATGAATCGATGCACATGAATGTCGACTTCTTGGGCGACTATCCTGACTTTTTGTCCTTTGGCATGGTGCTGCTGTTGGCTGGCATCCTCGCCTTTGGCGCCAAGGAGTCCAGTTTTCTGAACAACATTTTCACGTGCGTCAATTTGGTGACGATTTGCATTGTGCTCGTTGCCGGCTCCATGAATGGTGAGTGCTGCTCCTCGGACTTCCACCGATCTTTATTAATGCTCCTTTTGATCCCTGCAGCCAACACCGCCAACTGGCGCATTCCTCAGGATCAAGTGCCCGAGGGTTTTGGCACGGGTGGCTTTATGCCCTTTGGCCTTGCTGGCGTCATGGCTGGCGCGGCCAAATGTTTCTTTGGCTTTGTGGGCTTCGATTGCATTGCCACCACGGGCGAGGAGGCCATCAATCCGAAGCGCAATATTCCCCTGTCGATTGTCATCTCGCTGATTATCATCTTTCTGGCGTACTTTGGTGTCTCCACGGTGCTGACCATGATGCTGCCGTACTACCTGCAGGACAGGGATGCGCCCTTCCCGGCTGCCTTCGATGCCGTTGGTTGGATCACCATCAAGTGGATTGTGACCATTGGAGCGGTGTTTGCGCTGTGCACCAGCCTGCTGGGTGCCATGTTCCCACTGCCACGCATCCTGTACGCCATGGGCAACGATGGCATCCTCTTCAAGCGGCTGTCCAAGGTGCATCCGTACACGAAGACACCGCTCATAGCCACCATTGTCTCGGGCATCTTTGCATGTGAGTTGGCAGCACTTTGAGAGTTAATCCATGGCTGACTTTATTGCTTTTCCCAACAGCTGTCATGGCCATGCTTTTCAACCTCGATCAACTGGTGGACATGATGTCCATTGGCACGCTGCTGGCCTACACCATTGTGGCCATTTGTGTGCTGGTGCTGCGCTACCAGGACGAGGACATGACCAAGCTGGTGTCTGTGAAGGCGCCCAATGTCTTCCGGCAGTTCTTCAATGGCAACTCGTATCGGGAGCCCAACAGCATGACCTCCGGCATCACCAAGATCGGCATCGTGGTCTTTGCCATCGTCTGCCTTGTGTGGTGCTCGCTGCAAAAGGTCTTTGACCTCAACAGCACTGGTGGCATTGTCTCGCTGAGTCTCGTGGGCGTTGTGCTCATCCTCATTGGCATTGTCATTGGCATGCAGCCCGTGTCCACCATTGAGCTGACATTCAAGGTGCCACTGGTGCCGCTTGTGCCCTGCCTCAGTGTCTTTGCCAACTTGTATCTGATGTTCCAGCTGGATCTGAACACGTGGATACGTTTCCTCATCTGGATTGTGATTGGTTATGTCATCTACTTCTGCTATGGTTTGCGCAACTCCACGCAGATCTCGAGGAATCGCAATCACGCCGAGGTGGCAGCCAATGCGCTGCAGCAGCAGCGAGATAATAATTATCATGGCCAGCACGAGAATCGTGCCTTCGAGCCGGACTTTAAGGCGGAAAATGGCTTCAAGTCGCCACCGCCGTACGAGTACTCCGAGAAGCTTTAAGCAAAAGTATTATAGGAATCCCCACACCCCCTTCCGATTTTACACAATTTCAACTTCATTTTGACTCCTCGACATTTACTCTTGAATAGAACAAAGACTCTTCTTGCCTTTCCCAGCAGCCAGCACGTGTATGTGAGAGAGATGAATAGATTGCGCATAAAAATTAAATGGATCTGCAGCCATCACTTAACCCATTCCACATCTAAACATCTACACACATTCCATTGTATAACCCATGTTTGTAGCAGCGGATCTGTTATTTCTATGCGCCACACACGCTTCCTTTCGTAAGCGACTTCTAGAGAGAGCTCCAGTAAACCCCAGACTCTATTTAATCCATTTCGTCATTTTATTAAACAATTACCCTAACTGTTTATACAGTCAACTTTTAGCGCTTTTAAACCACTTTTAACTCTGCTTAAACTACCCTAAAGAAACCCCTAGGAAACCCCATATGAAATACCCTTCGCAGTGCCCCCCAATTTGTTGTGATATTTGTAAATATGTATACACACACACACACCCCCCAAACATATATTTATGTATGTATGTATAGAGCTATAATGATCCCATATTTGTATAGTTTTTTTGTATCACAATTTAATGTAAATGAAACCATTATTTTATGTACAATATCAACGCAGAATGCAGGCTGCAATTTGCAGGCTTGGCCTTGTGGCCTCAGAGCTGCACTTAGTTTTTAAGCTCTTTAGCTGCTCTAAGCCTTTTCCACACATTTGTTTAACTATTTTGCCAAAACCCAGAAACGAATTTTACCCCTGTCCCCTGTCCACTCCCATCAATTGTTTGCTTAATAATAAAATCCAATGTTGTTCATCATTAAAACGGATGAGATATTTAATTGAAATTGCCGTGTCTTAATGCTAGGATTACCGTGAAAGTCTACTAAATATTTATCTAGCAAGAGTGCCGCATGAAGCAGTCTCTGTGGCTCCCTGGCGTGTGGCAAGTTCTGCCTCATGCAGCCTCTTTCATATGCATTTTCTGGCTTTTTTTGTTTGTTGGACTTGGACTTGGACTAGGAATCTGACTGCGATTGCGTTTGCGTTTGCGACTCTCTCCCACATTGTTTGCTAACCAGCTTAGTTAAATGGCAAAGAATCTCCAGACTCTGCAACTCCTCTAATTTCTAAGCCTTGGGAGAACTTGAAGAGTAAATAGGACACAAAAAAATTCGGAGTAACTGAGCGGAGAGCCAAAAAGCCAGACAAAAGTTGCTTGGGGATAATGTAAGCAAACGTAGAGAGGAGAATGGCAAAGAGTTTGGGTATGGAGCATCCTGAATATGCCAAGTGTAGGAGTAGGACAAAGGCATCGTCCACTGAGAAAATACAATTGTTTTGCCCGGATTTACTCTTAACCCCTTCTATTTCAATCTTTTTCCACAGCACTAATTTATGCATTTTAAAAGCATATCAAATGCTTGCGTGGAGCGAAGAGAAGGCAGTGCAGCAAAGTGGACTGGATAGTAGAGCCAGCAAAAAGAGGATATATTCCGAGAGGGAATTGTAATTTGACTTTTGTGTCTTTGCTGTGCACATATGCGGAAAAATGCAATTTTTCACACGCTGCCATCGCAGCAATTGAGGGAAGAGCTTTTACACAGCAACTACTTTTGCTTTGCTTTGCTTTGTTTTCTTTTTCTTTTTCTTTTTCTGTTTTTGCCTTTCCTATTTTTCCTCTTTTCTGTGTTTGCCCAGCTGCTCGGCTCAGTAATCAATAGCCCCAGAGTAGGAGACATTCTTCCTAAGCAAAAACCTGTGAGGCATTAAAAGCCTTCTACGATAAGAAGATTTTTAGCTATCAGCTGAGAAATATCAACATTCATTTGAATTGTACATTCTACTTTACACATGTCACACTGGTGTAGTTCTACATGTACTCTACACAAATATGACAGCCTGCAAGTCTGCTTCACTCTTTGTGCCTGGCTTTGCCCATTTTGTGGTAGATTTCCATCAACATTCGGCATTTGTTTACTAATAAAAGAGTGGAGCCAGCGAGCGCCTGAGCTTATTGCCAATTTAAACTAAACTTTAAGCTAAACTATTCTTAAATGAAATTGTTTTGTTGTTTCAAACTTGCAACGCTCGCAATAGCCACGAATACCTTGCGCTGGAATTTGTTTTGGGTAGGAGAAAGTATGTATGTGGAGGAGGGTCTGCTCGTGGGTTTTAATGTATCTAATCGAGCATGCTACATGCTCATATAACATTTCAGTTCTACGTTTTATGCTCTAGCTAAAGTATTATTGAATATTGGAACACTTTTGCAAACGCTTTTTCACCTTAGCCAAAGGATCTTTGCATTGATTCTACTTCCTCCGAAGCAATGCAAATAATAAATGTACAAGCCAGTCATGGAAAAAATAATAGAAACGGAACTTTATCAAAGTATTTTTCAAAGTAGTTTCATAAATTGGCTTCAAAATGTATCTAAAAGTGTCTCAAAATATAAAGAAATAACATCTATAGGCAAATGTAATGCACTTTTGTACGTACACATGTAAATATGTAACTATTTATGTACCATATCTTCTAATTAAAAGTGTAATCCCGGAGTCGTGGGCGTCGCAACATCAGTCTTTCCCATATAAATGCTGACGTGCGGCCGATCTATGGCACCATTGCTAAGCATATCCCTATCCGTACGCCCATTAAAGCGCTATACATCCATTCGCATGCCACTTCCACGCCATCGAATAATCGCACAGACCCACAGAGATGCAGGGGAGTGGGGTTCTGGGGAGGTTTGCAATGCAATTTGCGTTACGATGGCGCTCAAATAAAATGTTTTCGGCCTAAAAGTATCAGATTCGAGTGCGCAAAGAGCGAGAGCTGCACTGAAAGGTGAATAAATAAACAATAAATGCCCAGCAAGGGCCATGGGATTAGGGGGAAGGATTGTGGGTTGGATGCAGTGCACCCTTGGACCACCACCACCACCATCCCCTCGCCCCTTGCCCCTTGCCATGTTGGTCACTCATTGCGCGCGTTCTGCGTTTGTGGTTTCATTTGTGAGTTTTAATTAAATACGTTTAAATATTTGTTATTTCCGACAGACAGAGGCAGACAATCCAAAAACCAAAAACCGAAAAACGAAACCGAAGCGAAGGGAATGCACCAGGAAGCTGGCTGCTGCATGGAAGAGCGAACGCGAACTGGCGGACTGGCGTCCACCTGGTAAATATTAGCGAAAAATTAGGAAAAGTATTTGAAGCGCAACATGTTCGTCCTGCGGCTTTCAACATGCAAACGGGGGCCCCAGGCCGGGGGAGGCGCGCACATCATTTGCGAAAAGTTTTCGGTGCGTGTGCATTTCATTTATTTATAAATAATGCATAATTAATTTAAAGTGCGTGCGTAAAATTGTTGTTAAGTGCTTAATCCTGTAAAGCACACACAGCGACAGGGAGAGGAGCCACAGCAGGAAGCGGCACATGAACGGGCAATCAAGGACAGGACAGAGCAGGGCTAGGGCCAGGGCCAGGGCCGGTTATTGATTTGCATTTTGCATGCATATTCCATAAGTCCATAAACTATCACTAAATCGAAAGCGAAGAGCCAGTGGGGGCTTCCGTGCCGCTGCCGGCGAGAGTTTTCCATTATTTATTTGATATTTTATTAGTCAAGTTTTTGGCCATTTCATTTGAGGACAAAAACAAATCAAAGCCCCTCGTTGCGACGGTTCAAAGCAATTAACTGGAATTTCATATATGTATGTTTGTGAGTCCAAATAGAATATAAACCAAAATTGCTAATGATTCTGGGTTTCGTCATTTCCGCACCCCCACACACATGCAATTTGAATCCGCAATTTTGTCAAAGTCAGAAAGTTCAACATTTTACATGCGGTCACAAAATCAAATTAACTTTTAGCGCGCACACATTTTGGGGGCAGCGACCACAGAGACTGGCCCAGAGAGCTGGGTAATAGTTTAAAAAAATGTCATATTAAACGAAAGTACAGCGGCGTGGGGCTGGGAGCATTGCCATGTGCATATAATAGGCCGATCAACATCAATTAAGAAAATAATCCCCGCATTATTTGAATGGGCAATGGGCGATTGCTATGGCAGGACTGGCTGCTGGCGGAGTGCGAGTATATAAATATTATTTGACATCGACAAGGGCACAACAAAAAACTGTCAGCAAGGGCGAGAATTAAGCCAACATTTTTCACATATGCTAAGCGTGCCGTGGGGGAGAAAAAAAATTGCCAGCGCATGTTGTGCGGTCGTAATGACGATGCGCTGTCCGGATGCTTGCATTGACGATGATGTTGATGATGACAGGTGCTACATGCAAGGACATGACATTTATCAACTCGGAAAACTTGCCAGCACGCACCATGCACAGGGATAATTATGATTTGGAGCGGCGTAAAGAGAGATCATTTGGCCAAGAATTGCGCTGCAGGAAGGCTTCCTTCCCAGCTACATTCATTTTCAATTAACATTTTCAAGTATTTTGCACATTTTGCACACTAATTGCACATTACGTGGGCCCATCAAAACAAAAACAAAGATACCTAACTAAATAAATACACACATACACATAGAGCAAAACATATTATTTTCTCTATTTATTTGAGCAGCGCCACGGGACAGCAGGTGCTGCTGATAAAACAAACAAAAATGCGTGCTATATGAGAATTGTACACAAAAACACAAACACAAATGTACATATAAAATATATATAGGTATATGTGCCATATGGATGTACTTGTGGTTGAAAGGCATTTTAGATTTGGTCCAAAAACATTGACGCATCGAGCCATTTAACCAAATGCATCATACGCACTGTTGCATGGTTCGCACCTCTTGATTAGTGTGCACACAGAGTACAGGGTATGCGTGTCAGAGCAAAAGGGTTAAGCTGTAATGGAACTTGCTAGTTTTTAGAATTTATTTCGATTTATTTCTATTCAATTTGTTGCCTGCCGCAAGTCAGTTTTTACACCCAAATTCCAGCACAAACTTCTTCCATTTTTGCACAATTTTTAGTAGCTTTTCCTTTAATAGTTACCCTCCATTTGGGAGTATCATTAAGTCTGTAGACTGCCAACACATATATGTGTGCGCGGAAAATGCAAACATGGTCATAAAATCGCATTTGGCATTTTGTGTAAATCAAATCAGCGGAGCGGGCAACGGAAACAAAGCCCCCAGAGTTAGAGCGGGTGTGGCAAAAGGAATTTCCTTTATGTTTTTTGATGACCATAATGAAAAGATCAAAAGGCCATAAAATGCCAGCACCCATGGCGGGCAGTAACAAAAATATATCAACGACATGTGTGTGTGGCGCAATCAACAAAAAGGAGCTGCATATAATTTGAAATGCAAATACGCAGCATATAAAGGTGGAAAAAGTTATCATATAATATGAAGAGTAATGGCGGGCCATTAACTTGGGGCCATAAAGTGTCGCAGGGAGAATTATTGTGCGCATAGATAGGAGTCCTGCACACAATATCCATCGACTCTTCATTAAAGCAATCCTGGACCCGTATCTATGTGAAAATCCACTCGACTGAGCAAATTACTGCGCACAGAGTGCGAAAACTCAATTTGCGGGTGAAACGTCTTCGGCTCCGGGGATCCGATTAGGGTCTGGGGAGGAGGGTGGGGGCTTTACCGGGCAGGCCAGTGTCCAAGTCGAGTTCCATTTAGTCTCGTCAACTGCCATCAATTTGACTAACAATATTCACGCCAATTAACAAATTAATTGCCTACTTTGCTGGCTGCACTTGAAGGCAGCAAACACACACTGAAACACACACACTAGCAAACAACGTACGCTGCATACACACGTACACTCGCTGCTCTTAGGCATATTCCCAATGGCG